TATTATAGTTTCTTCATGTTCTTTATTAATATTATGGATGATCTTTGGTTCTAAAAATCAATCATCAATAGATGATGTCCAAAAAGAATATCGTCGGCAATCTTCATGATCCTAAATTTACAAAAATACACAATTATTAAATGTTAATTAATAAAGAAAAACATAGAATTAAAAAATAATAATTAAGATGAATATACTAATAATTAAAAAAGACTTTACAAACTAATTTTAAAATGACATATGCTATACCAAAAAAATGTGCATCACTCAATACCTCAAAGAACATATGAACCAAAATCAAAGAACATTAGGGATAAAATAAAGAACATAAGTGATGTAACAACAGAACATATATATAAGGAGTAAAAATCTTAGAAATTAAAACCCAAAAGAACATAAGAGTTAAAACAAAGAACATGAACATAGAAGAACATATTATTCAAATAAAAAGAACATTATACCTTAAAGAACATAGTTTGCATTGTAAAGAACATACAATTTAGATTCAAAGAACATATTAATCAGATTTAAAGAGCATATTCCATAATAATTAACAAAATGAATATAGATCAAATAAATGATAAAAAGAACATTTATCATAATTAGAAGAACATCATCTTCAACCTCAAAAAATAATACAAAAATAGTTTTTCAAGAAAAAAAAACTCCTTTTATTAAAATATCCATAAATTATCAAATTTAATAACAAAAAATATAATCTCTTTTGATTATAAAAACCCACAACTTATGAAATTAAATAATTTAAAAGTGCATTATCATTATCATCAACATCATAACTATAATGATAAAATTTAAATAAGAAAAAAATAAAAGTAAAAAGAACCTTCTCGTCATTTGATTACAAACTCCTCAAATTCACCATCAACATTATCAAAATCTTCATTGTCATATGTATTATCAACAGATCTACAATTGGAATCATGTAGAAATTCAAACTACGCTACCAAGCCATTGTAATTTCTCTCTATAATTCTCTCTGTATTTCAAAATTGTAATTATATCTCACCAAAAATATAAAATCTAGTTTTGAAAACTATTAATGTGGAAAATAACTAACAAATCCCTTAAATTATGTAGAGAACTATTTTGATTTTATTTATTTATTTATTTTATTAAAAGTAAAAAAATACTGTTATTTCCAGCATGGTGTACCATGAGCATGGTACACCCTATTGTACTATTCAATGTCGTCTCAGTCATTTGGTCCTGAGCGAAAAATAAAAAAGGGCCCTAAACAACCTAATTGTTTAGCTGAATGGAATTCTAAATTCGCCAAGTATGCTGAAAAATACAGTGATGAAGCTGCAGAGTTGAAGTCTGTCATCACTGGGGAATTACCTTCTGGCTGGGAGAAGGCACTTCCGGTTAGTATTGACTTACACTATATAATTTGATGTCCTAACAGAATTCCAGTTCTAATTTTTAATTCAGGTTCTTTTGATGCTTTGATGATGGAATTGTTCTTGAGGACAGCTATTTTTGGATTATATACTTTTTGACACATGACAGTTGAATTGAAAAGCTTGTTTCTGCATCTTCTACAGACATACACCCCCGAGAGCCCTGGTGATGCTACAGTGATAAACATAATGCAGGTAACATTAGTTTAAGATATTATAGGACTACAGGTGGTAATGTATGTTACATGAAGATGAGACTAGTACATACATAAAAGAACGTTCATTTTAAAAGCTACAAAAAATAAATTTGAAATATTATAGCGCTGGATGGATTCTCAATTTCTCATCAGTGATCTCAGCCTTAACTGCAGGGAATTATCATCAGTGGTCTGTAATGTTTTCCCCTTATTATGGTATTCTGCAGCAGTGATCTTTAATGTTTTCCCCCCTTTATGGTCTCTCGCAGCCTGTTGATCCAGATGGCTTCTCTTGATCGATTTATTCTTCTGTCAAAAGGAGAAATAGTTAGTTAGTGGTTGCAGAGAACGTGATAGGATTTACTAAGAGCGCGTAAGCCATCATCCACCTTAATGTTTCTCCTTCAATTCAGAGTATCTTTGAAATACATCAATGACGACTTGTTATGAGAAAGTGATTCTGCATCAGGCTCAGTTATTTCTTTTCAAGTGGAGGCACAACATCATCTGGGTTTTTTTCGTTTTTAGATCAAGAAAATGTATTAAAAATGCTGAGTGTTTTCTTTCTAAAAAGTGATGCGAAGCAAACATTATGAGCTGCTGGCCAACTTGGCCGTTTTTTAGCCCGGAAGAGGGGATCAAAAAGGCTCATAGGAATAACGCTAGATTGCATAAGCCTCTCCAATATATCATAGGCGACTACTGTGATTGTCAAGCATTTAAGATGGCTGCATGCTAATGACTGGATTAATTACTTTATTTATTGAATCAAATACCTTGAAAAACCAAAAACAAGTTGATTTTATTCAGTATCTCCTAATACATGCAAAGGAACTAGCCAAGTGACAATCAAGCATGTATTGTCAAGGTCACAAGTATTCAATGGCAATGAATTTCTAATACACAGGCTCAATTGCTTTGGCGCACTACTCGAACCAAATACAGGAATTTACGTTCTTTCTATGATTTATCAAAGGATCTCTTTCCATGTCCACTTTGTCTTTCTTCTAAGCATTTAATCTTCCTTGGTGTGCTTTATTGGAGGAATTTAATTCAGCTTAAAATCGATGTCAAGGAAATTAAAGCAGGCAAAAGTTCATTGAAAGCCAGACACTTGCATGCGCAGGTGCACCTTTTCCATCCATAAAAGGTTCCACCAGTCACCAGGAACAAGCTAGGAACGCGCCTACTTCAGCAGTTTATCTTGGTGCAGATGAAGACCCACCAATGTTACAACCATGTGATGTCATTCCTTCCCAATTGGAAGTAGAGAATAATACCAACCTAATCAAGGACCCAAAGTCCCGTAAGAAGCCTCGTGGACGTCCTAAGGGAAGTAGGCACGAGACCTTGGCTGAGAGGATATAAGGTAACGAAATCTAAGCAACCTGTTGCCACCGTTTCATCTAAAATGCTGGTTAGAATATGCCACCCCGTTCATTAGCATTTATTCACTCTATTCATTCATTTATTTCCCTTTGCTTTGGTGAACAAGAAACGAGCTACAACAACAAAAGGTCAGGTTCCTGCTGCTGAACCAGTCCATGTATGCCTTTGAGGGCTCCCGTCCTACATTGACCTTTGTTGTTGAAGACCCCTTACTAAACCAAAATAGCATCTTGAGATTTTTCCTTATTCTATCCACGTATGATGTGTAATATCATCACAAGCTTAAACTGATAGTCAGCTGCATTTTGTATTAACAGTTACCTGTGGAACAATCACATACAGTAATCCATGCTGACTCTTGCTCTAGTCTTAAGAAGGGTCAAAGAGTACCTATTGTTTTCAAATCAACGTATGCTTTCCTCGATCACAATTTGAGGGTCAATTAGAACACTCTTGAGACAGGGGGGCAACGGGACACATTGATGAAAAGGAAATTTATTAGGGCCACTTCAAGAAAACCACCACAATGCCCATGGCCAACAACTACTGATTTACTAAGCTCTTGTGGATTCAGAATTACTCTTGACTTAAGGTCTTGAGACAAAGCAAACACCTCAAGGTTTAGCTTAAAGAGTTAAAGCACTTGCTAAATACTCGAGTTTTTCAAGCAATGTCACAAACCAAAGTTTATATAATCTGATTTATACCTTAAAGAGTTAAAGCACTTGCCAATATACATAATGTCATTCAAGAGTTAAATATATGAAAACACACTTCTATTGTGAGGTTAAAATATAAAATTTAACTTAATTTCAACCTGTCGAATTCCTTTCTTGGAGATTAGATCAGGATCATCAGGGTTCAACCAGCTGACTTGGACAAAAACACCGAAGTTTCCAGCAGACAGATATTCAGTAAATGTTTCACAATCACAGGGTTGAAATTGTGTTGATTTTCTAAAAACAGTTTGGTGTTTCCCCCCAGAATCCATGGTAGCGAATAGCGATAGCCATGTTGAAATTAAATACAAGGGGATAGTAAGCTGGAACGCACACGAAAGATCTATTTAACAGGAACACCGTGAACCACTTGATCACGCTTCTTTCGTGATTTCTTATAGAGAATAATCTGATTGTTGTCATAATATGTTTTATTATAGCAGGCTGTAATACTCCCGGATATATCAAAATCACTTTTAGCAGCAGCATCATATTCATCACTATCATAATAATATGGTGTTTCTTCATCATCAACTTTTTTGATGAACATTACTCTGACACCAACAATCATAGCACACGACATAACAATGTAACGTACACAAACATTTCCAAGATGACCCTCAAAAATTGAGGATTTGAATTCATGATAGCAAAGATGAGTTGTGGTGTCCAAATGTAAACAGCCATGGTGTTAGGATCCAACCTCTTTCATCATGTATTTTGCTTTCTTATGTCTTTATTTAGCTTATGTTAAACTTTCAATGTATTCGTGTAAGTAGTTTAGGCACTAGAGGAGAATATTGTGTTACTGTCATTTCAGTGTTCACTAGTATTTCTCCATGTAAACAATATAAAGCTCTATATGGAGCGATGGTTGAATGAAAAGATCCTATTTGGGTTGCCTTGCTTTAAGACTTGTGTGTTGATTTAAGCCTTTATAGATATTGTGCTTGCCTTGTTTTAAAGCTCCCCACCAAACCAAGAGACTCTCAAAGACGCCTACATCCTTGTCGGTTCCGCTTGTGCCCGCTTCGAAGTATCGGCCGTCACAAGCCCCGACCCTTCACTCGTTACTAACGATTGCCTCATTGAGATACCTTTGGTCCGTGTCGATGTGTGCCCACGAACCTCTCTCACTCTAGGCTTGCGTTCTTGTTTCTAAAAGATAAGAGCGCGCCGCACGATCCGGTGTCAAACCACTCGGACCGTGACAGTTGGTATCAGAGCCAACGCTGCATCGTTGCCTAAACTCGTGTTCAAGTAGCACGCCAGTGATGGAAGATAATCTCGAATACACCTTCGAACAACGGCTGGCCTGGCTTGAGGGCAAGTCCGAACAATGGGCCTTCCTAGAAGAAAGGGTGCCCAAGCTCGAAGATATTGTGATCAAGCAGGATAATGAAATCAGTATTCTACGTTCCACAGTAGATGGACTGTTGGAGCAACTGAATTGTGTCCAGGCACTAGCTGATGAGGCACTCGACAAGTGTGCCACTATGCATGCTCCTCAAGGCTTTGGGGGCAGTGGGGGTGCAAAGATAAAGCCGCCCAAGCCCCAAACCTTTGATGGGGCAAGAGATTCGAAGCAAGTCGACAACTTCATCTTTGACATGGAACAATACTTCCGGATTTGTCAAATAGAGGATCCCTTCAAGGTGGATACTGCCACCATGTATTTAGTGGAGGACGCGAAGTTGTGGTGGCGCACCAAATATGCCGACATTCAAGCAAAACGAATCACGCTTGATAGTTGGGAGGATCTCAAGAAGGAGATCAAGAACCAGTTCTGCCCGGATAACACCGAGTTCGTGGCTCGCACAAAGTTAACCACCCTACACCACAGGACTTCCATTCGAGAATATGTGAAGGAATATTGTGCGTGCATGTTAGAGATCCAAGATATGTCAGAGAAGGATCGGTTGTTCAACTTTGTGCGAGGTTTGAAGGATTGGGCGCAACGTGAGATTTGGCGCCAAAAGATAGACACTCTAGCTGGTGCTATAGCAGCAGCTGAGAAGTTAATGGATTACTCACCCGATAAGGGCCCTAATCAGAAGAAGGGGAACAATGGACAAGCAACAAGCACTCCTAGAAGCCAACACCCCGCCTCCCAAGTTAGCTCAAACAATGTTGGGAGTAGGTACAACAAGATTGTGGGGGACGACTCTAGAAGGAGTGGAGCTTCCTCTTCATCAAGTAAGGGAAGCACATCAACCTTCTCAACAGGGAACAGACCCCTAACATGCATCCTCTGTCGGGGCCCTCACAAGTGGTTCGAATGCCGTCATAAGGGAGAAATCGATAGTCTCCAAAAGAAGTTATCGGCGATGACGGTGGAGTCAAAACAGACCGAAGAAGCATGCGAGGTAGAACCCGATGAGGAAGAGCCCTCAAGGCTGGGCGCGGTGCACATGTTGTACGCCATGGGAAAGGAAGAGCCCGAGGAGAGGTCCAAAAACACTGAGTTGATGTATGTAGAAGTGTTGGTGAATGGGAGGAGGGGCAATGCGATGATTGACACCGGGGCCACCCATAACTTCATATCCCAAGGAGAAGCTCGAAGATTGGGGCTGAAGTTGATTCAAGAAGGGGGTAGTATGAAATCTGTTAACTCAGCCGCCAAGCCAGTTCATGGGGTTGCAAGGAACATCCCAACAAAGCTGGGGGACTGGAGCGGAAACCTGGATTTCACTGTAGCCACCATGGATGACTTTAACCTTGTACTCGGTATGGACTTCCTACGTGCAAGTAAAGCTGTCCCGATGCCCCACCTGGGGTCAGTATTAGTAGCTGGACAACAACCTTGCCTCCTCAAGACTTGCAAGATGAGAAAAGGGTCTAAAGGCCCCCTCCTTTCGGCAATGCAACTAAAAAAGGGGTTGAAAAGGAACGAACCCACATTCCTTGCTACTCTATCAGGGAAAGAAGATGAAGCCCCTCATCAAATCCCCGCAGCTTTAGATAAGCTTCTCACGGAATTTGAGGACCTCCTCCCCAAAGAGCTCCCACAGGTGCTTCCTCCTAGGAGGGCTGTGGATCACGAGATTGAACTTGTTCTTGGTTCGAGGCCCCCTGCTCGAGGCCCTTACCGTATGGCCCCTCCCGAGCTAGCGGAACTTAGAAAGCAACTGGAAGACTTACTAGAGTCAGGATTCATCCGCCCCTCGAAAGCTCCTTATGGAGCTCCCGTGCTCTTCCAGAAGAAACAAGATGGGAGCCTCCGATTGTGCATAGACTACCGAGCCCTCAACAAGGTCACAGTGCGGAATCATTACCCCATTCCGTTGGTGGCGGACTTGTTCGATCAACTAGGGGATGCAGTGTTCTTCACGAAGTTGGATCTGAAATCTGGCTACCACCAGGTTCGCATTGCTCAAGGAGATGAACCGAAGACCGCATGTGTAACGAGATATGGAGCATTTGAGTGGCTAGTTATGCCGTTTGGGTTGACCAATGCCCCCGCAACCTTCTGCACCTTGATGAATCAGGTGTTCCATGAATTTCTCGACAAGTTTGTAGTGGTGTACCTGGATGACATTGTAATTTATAGCAAGACCTTTGAAGAACACCTCGACCACTTGAGAAAGGTGTTTGAGAAGCTGCGAAAACATCATCTGTTCGTCAAGAGAGAAAAATGTGCTTTCGCCCAAGAAGAAGTTGGGTTCTTGGGACACTTTGTAGGTAAAGGCCGCATAAGGATGGATCCAAAGAAGATACAAGCAATTTAGGATTGGAAAGATCCAAGGAACACTTCCGAGCTTCGGTCCTTTCTAGGCTTGGCAAATTATTACCGCAGATTTATCAAGGGATACTCCGAGTTAGCCAGTCCCCTCACTGACCTCTTGCAGAAGGATCATCGTTGGGAATGGTCAGAGAAACAGCAAAAAGCTTTTCAGGAATTGAAAGATTCATTAATGAGAGAGCCAGTCCTCGCTCTCCCTAACCCCAACAAACCCTTTGAAGTAGAGACAGACTCTTCCGATTTTGCCTTGGGAGGAGTATTACTCCAAGATGGCCATCCCATCGCATTCGAGTGTCGGAAGTTGAACAGTGCGGAAAGGAAGTACGCAACACAAGAAAAGGAACTCCTAGCTATTGTGCACTGCCTTAGGGGCTGGAGACATTACTTGTTGGGCTCGAAGTTCATCGTCCGCACCGACAATACTGCTGCAACCCACTTTCTCTCTCATCCTAAGTTGACGGGAAGACATGCTCGATGGAAAGAATCCTTAGCTGAGTTCGATGTAGAGTTTGCATACAGAACAGGGGATAGCAACAGGGTAGCAGATGCGCTGAGCAGGCGAGCAGACCTGGCACCCCTACAAAGATTATCCCCTTTAACTTCAAGCAACGTCACTACCTCTGTGCGTGATCAAGTTAAAGCTTACTTAGGAGATGATCCGATGACAGGAACCATCAAGAAACTGATTGAAGAAGGGAAAACTAGACGTTTCTGGATAGAAGACGGACTTGTCTACACAAAAGGAAAGAAACTCTTCATCCCTAGAGCAGGTGGTTTGAGAAAGATGCTCTTGAGGGAATGCCACGACACGCTATGGGCAGGTCATCTGGGTTGGAAAAGGACACTCAGCTTACTGAGCACAGGATACTATTGGCCGGGGATGAAAGAGGACGTGATGAACTACACAAGAACTTGTCTGGTGTGTCAACAAGACAAGGTCGACCGACAGAAATCCGGTGGGCTCCTGGAACTGTTACCAATCCCTACTCGCCCCTGGGAGAGTGTATCCATGGACTTCATCAGTGGCCTCCCAAAGGTGGACCAGCTCTCCGCAGTAATGGTGGTTGTAGATAGATTCTCAAAATATGCTACCTTCGTTCCAATGCAAAAGGCATGTGGTGCTGAAGAAACTGCCTCATTATTTTTCAAGCACGTTGTGAAGTATTGGGGACTCCCCAAGAGTATAGTGAGCGACAGAGACACGAGATTCACAAGCATATTCTGGTCAGAGTTGTTTCGGATGATGGGGTCAGAACTCAATATGTCATCAAGTCATCATCCACAATCAGATGGGCAGACGGAGAGATTCAATGGGTTACTTGAAGAATATTTGCGCCACTTCGTCAGTGCCAATCAGAAGGATTGGGTGAGACTCCTCGATGTAGCTCAGCTTTGTTTCAACGCCCAAAAGAGCTCCTCATCAAATAAGAGCCCTTTCGAGCTGACCATGGGCCAACAACCTCTCTTGCCTCACACAGTAGCAGACACCGAGGCCGGACGAAGTACTCAAGCTCGAGAATTCAAAAGGGAGTGGGAGCAAAACACAGAGATTGCTCGGGCCTACTTGGGGCGAGCAGCTAGGAGAATGAAGAAGTGGGCTGATCAAAACAGAAGACCGTTGGAGTTTGATGTTGGGGATATGGTGATGGTGAAAGTGTTACCCGAACAACTGAAGTTTTTGAGAGGAAGAGATCGAAGATTGATCAGAAAATACGAAGGCCCCATCCGCATCATAAAACGGATAGGGAAGAATGCGTACAAGGTCGAACCTCCAGCATGGATGAAGATACACCCAGTCTTTCACGTCAGCCGCCTCAAGCCCTACCACCCAGATCAAGAAGACTCAAGCCGCAACATCAGCAACCGAGCCAGCATCAGGAGCAGACAGCGCAACACCTCTTCAGCAGAGACCTAAGGATCAAGAACTTTAGTCTCCTTAGTCATATTTTGTAAGTCGACGAGGACGTCGACAGCTTAAGTGGGGGAGGATGTTAGGATCCAACCTCTTTCATCATGTATTTTGCTTTCTTATGTCTTTATTTAACTTATGTTAAACTTTCAATGTATTCGTGTAAGTAGTTTAGGCGCTAGAGGAGATTATTGTGTTACTGTCATTTCAGTGTTCACTAGTATTTCTCCATGTAAACAATATAAAGCTCTATATGGAGCGATGGTTGAATGAATGAAAAGCTCCTATTCGGGTTGCCTTGCTTTAAGACTTGTGTGTTGATTTAAGCCTTTATAGATATTGTGCTTGCCTTGTTTTAAAACTCCCCACCAAACCAAGAGACTCTCAACGACGCCTACATCCTTGTCGGTTCCGCTTGTGCCCGCTTCGAAGTATCGGCCGTCACAAGCCCCGACCCTGCACTCGTTACTAACGATTGCCTCATTGAGATACCTTTGGTCCGTGTCGCTGTGTGCCCACAAACCTCTCTCACTCTAGGCTTGCGTTCTTGTTTCTAAAAGATAAGAGCGCGCCGCACGATCCGGTGTCAAACCACTCGGACCGTGACACATGGGCAAAGCAATGAACCCCCTGTTTTAGTGAATTCAAGTTTTAGACCTCGAGATGTATGTGAATGCGAACTGCACCATCCATTGTGATAGCACCGAGTGTTGGACCCGTTAGCAATAAGGTCTGAGGACCGGCTGAGTCGATGGTCGAACATTAAAAATAAGGAGAGAAAACATCATACCTCAGAAGCCGCTTCAATGGAAAACTCAATACGATTATGCGAGGGGTGGAGACAGGAGAGAGAGGGATTTGGCGTAATCGTCAAACAAACTTAAAAGAACGTTGCAAAATTACTTGATTAAACAGCATGAACATGAACAGAACTCCGCAACAATGTTGTATGAAAGAGAAGAGACAATACCCTTGGGTTTTTATTTATTATATTGGCAAACAAACCATATATTTACTATTCATACCTTCCATTGCTAATTCACGCTCTTTTAGTTTTTTTGTCCTTCTTATAATGGTTTGTATACGTAGTATTTCCCATTTGGTTGTCTCCCGTTATATACACCGTTACTAGTTTACCTCTAGCCATATAGTCAACGTTTTGACATACCTACAACCTAAAAAGTCAACGTCAAACACGCCTTTGTATGGAGCACAGTTGTAACAAAGTAGATTGGCATGTTATACAGATAAAATAAACACCACGTAAACATGAGGAGGTGATGCATACTCCTTGAAGAAATGATATTCTCATAGTTCTAGATTGTAAGCTATCAGCCATTATTCATTCAAACAAATGAAACAAACACTACAAAAATTCATCCAAGTGTCAGTTCAGAGGGGCAAACGGGAAGGCCAAGATCGACAATCCACCATGAAAATTTTACGTTATATAGTCCTTTTTCTTCAAATAGGACCTGAGGATGGAAATAGCACACCAAGTGAGATCATGGGACTAGATATTAGACTAAATCTGCCAAAACAGAGTGCTGCAGTATGTAAACACCTATGATAGTTGATGCACAAAACCAGATCTAACTGCCAGTGTAGTGTGTCGACAGAAATAGAAATAACCAAGACACTACAATTTCTTTACAGTTTTGACAATGATGCATCCATATAGATGATCTATCTGCACATTCTGTTTGGCCTTTCGAGATGGTAATTTGCATGTATTGTGTGAGTCCTATGTTCTCTTCATCAAGTACCCAAGGAGTATGCTGAGAATGCCGATCAGCACCACTACATACACTGGCACACCACCAGAACGTCTTCTGCCGATTTCTCTTTTCATCATATCCTGTTAAGTAGAACCAATATGTCGGGAGACTATTATAATTACATAATGGTTTTGTAATAATTCAGTCTTAACCAAGAAATAGCTTTTTAAGGAAGGAAGACACAGAGTAACAAATGTCGATAAGTGAAATACAGTTTTTAAAGATTATTATCACAATTGTAACAATTCTGAGGAGAGAGAGGGGGGGGGGGGTAAAATCAGGACAAGTGTACATGATGTTACCAGATATAGCAAGAAAAAGAAGAAATCCAAGTAACAGAATGATAAGCAATTAAGCATAGATAAAGTGTCAAAGACAAGCTAGGCATCATACCAATTCATGACGAAGTTTCTGATTCTGTTGAATGGCAGAAGCTTTCTCATTAGTCAACTTTGATATCAAAGACCGTGCCTGGAACAGACATGTCCGTTAGCATTCTAATTCGGGAGACATTAGAGGGGAAAAAAGCCAACATCTAGGAATAACATTAATGTAAATACTGCCTCCTGCTGAGATCCCTATATGTTATACCAACATTAACATAAAATCCTAGCAAAACAATCTGTCACAATGAATTCACACTCCCTCGGAAGTAAGACCACAACAGACATAATGTTAAATGATGCTGCAATATATAGCTAGATCATAAAAACTATACTAATAATACTAAATTTGCTTATCAAACCCTAAAAAAATATGAGAAAGTGTTGAACATAATACAATGACACTAGGAATGTTACATGTCAACTTATTCTTGCAACCAAACAAAAAGAACTTGAAACTATGCTCTTGATAGTTGATACAAATCTACATTATCAATTAATAGAATAATTTAAAGCTATGGACAACATCACAATGCAATTAGATTCATTTAGACCAGGGAGCATGAAACACAAAGGATATTGAGCTTTTATACAGCATTTGGCACCAGCGCATCACTCACCAAAGGACCACTTTGCCCATGAAGCATGAGTAACTGGACCATCCTTCTAAGAAAGAAACAAAAAAAACTTCGAAAAAAGCAGTATCTAGCAAGTAGAAGTGTAACGTAGAACACAGCGCCAAACCCAATGAACCAGCCATACAAGTAAGAGAAAAATGTCTAAAAATCTATAACTTGAGGGTCACATTGGCATCTTAAAACAAAACTGCTAATGTAAATATGCCAAGCAGCTTTAACTAACAAATTCTGAAATTAAACAAAACAGTTCCAGTCTTCCAGAGAGAGAGAGAGAGAAAGAGATTAAGGTTCGTATAAGAAGGGTAGTTTAGGAAAGAGATGAGGAGCATGAGAAGTAATCTAAAACTTAGATTAATCAAAATTTAACTTTTAATATGAGCTGCACTTCATTCAGGATAAATCTGGAATAACAGAACAAAAAGTAAACCCTTTCTCCTCCTTCCCACATCGACTGTACACTCCATCCCCACCATAGCTTCTTTCTCCTTCCTCCTCTCCAGGTAAGACTTATCCTACTTTTGAAACTACCTACCAGAATCCCAATCATTAGAAATTGGAGGTACGAAAATATTTGGGTAAGTCAATGTCCCAATTAGATGCAAGATGCTTCCCACCTAATCTTCCAATGAATTTGAAGATCTTTAGGAGTTCCCCAACAGTTATTTGATGTAGGAGATCTGACAATCTGGTATTATGCAGTAATAATCTTTGGCATAGCCATAGATATATCTCTACATTAACAAGTTTCTGATTTGCAAAACCTATGGATGAAAAACTAAATCCACGTATTATTCCATCCTGTAACTTAACCCCTCCCCCAACACTATTTCTCTCCTCAACTAATTCTTTCACATTTAATCTCCTCTTCACCTTTCCTGACTCTGAGACAGCATAGGTGGAGTTTAAGAAATTCATTTTAGGAAAAGGTATGAGCTAGCTAATTGGCCAGTAGCCCAGTATGATACTAGGATAAAGGCAAAGAGAACACGGTGGCCAGATAAGGGACCTGGTAACAGTATGGTGATTAAAAAAGGAAGATGGATAAGGTGAACCTGTGGAGTTTGTTCAAGTACAGCCCACAGGTATCAATTTTGCAATTTTCTTAACTAAATATGTAGAATGGCTTTATAATTTATCCTGTACTAACCCGAATACCCCATAGGCCCATACCATGCTCTGAAGTCTGAACTCAGAACTCAAACACCGTCTTAGACTGAAGATTTTCCACCCTTAATCTCCCCAGCTGGAGAAGATGAAATGCAGAAGAAAACAGAGAAACAAATGGAGTATTTGTGTTTTCTACACAGTGATATGTGCATATGTAAGTTCCTAAGTGTCCTAACACTGCAAATATGAGAAACCAAGGGAAAAAAAAAAACAATTCTTGTACAGCATGCAGACAACTACACATAATCTTCAAGACATGGAGCAAAGTCATCAGAACTTGAGAATTATATAAACAAAAAGCATGTCACATTATAACAGGTCAAGTCAACTCATCAACATAGATGTCTTCCACCACAAAATGTGCATTAAGATTTAAGAATCAGGCATTGAGCAATGTAGATGCCTTCCACCAAAATAGTGAGCATTTGGATTTAAAATTCAGGCATTTAAGAATCATTCTACCTTCCACCACATAGTTTATGTAAGATTTCATTCACAATGCAAGTTGTTTTTCAGTTTACACACTTATAGTTATGTGTATCATGTTCCTTATCAAGTTTAAGCTAGCACAACAAACAAACAGTTTGGCCCGCAGAAAGCAAATGAAATATTTCTAATTCTCCAAATAATTAACATAGACAAATGGAATTACCTCAGAATCTTTTTCTTTGGTCCCTTCAAAAGATCTAGTTACCTATAAGAACCAGCAACCAAAATTAATCAATTTGGGAAGAAAAAGTCACTCAGAAAATAACAAAATTTACGCATAAACACACTTACAGCTGACGCCAATGCAGCCTGCTCATTTACATCTTCGCGAGGTGGGGATCCTTCTTCTGATTCCTCAGGGACTGGTGAAGGAGGGTTAGCAGGAATGTAAATAACCCTCAACTTGAACTCCTCCACAACCTTCCCATCATCCTTGTTAAACTGAAGTTATAAAATAAAAGGTCAGCCAACTATAAGAACAAATTAAGATCCAACATCAAGTCTTCATAATAAGTAAGTGATGCGAAACAGCCATACCATCTCAGAAGTTATATCCTTAGCTGTACTACCATCAGGTGCCATAGCACTCTGAACTAGGAATTTGTCCTTGCATTGCATATCAAGTGGTGCTTCTTTTTGGGCTTGCATCGTAACTAAAATGTCCAATTGGAAATCACAATCAATTTTACTCCATAAAACTAATGACCAATATTCATAACTGCACAATCATGGTCAACTCAAAAGCCTCAAATAGCACATATATGTCGTAGCTTGCCAATTCAACTAGAATTTTTAATATGACTAGGTAAACCCAATTTAGTCCTAGAGCACAACCAGATCTTCAGATAACAAATCTACTAAACAGCGTGAATCACCAAAATGATCTTTCTTTATAGCCAAGTATTATAATACATGGATCCAAATTCCCAGTACAATCAATCTCAATTATCAGTAACTCAACGACTTATGACAATCCAGATTTGAGTATAAACTAATCTTAAACACATAATAAGAAAATGAATGTCATACAATTAATCATTACCTGTAACCTCACATGTTCCTCCAGGTAACACAACCCCAGTATTGGGACGCACACAATACTTCTTTGGATTGGTTGTTTTAACCTTTGTTAACACAAACACAGGGCATATTAATTAAATCATTACTATAAGCTCTAATTATAAGACTAATCAACAATCATTAATACAAAAAATAAAATAAAATCATACCTTAAATGCGACATATTTGTCTGTCTTATTTGTCAAAGTCATAGAACAATTGGCCTGCTTCCTCACTTCAACTTCATAAAACCAAAATCCAAAGCAACCCCACAAAAATTTAATCAAAACCCATGTCAAAAAATCCTAAATTGCATACAATTAACATTCAAAATCTTACAAATTAATACAATTAACCCAGAATTACCAAGAAACGCTACGAATTAGGGCTAAACACAAACTAATCAATCAAATAGGAGAGAGAAGATTTGACTTACAGTTAAATCTGAGTTCGGTGGGTTCAATATTAAGAAGATCGCCAGTATTCATGACTCCGAATTTCAATTTCTCTTTTCTAATTTCTGGGAAAAGTAAAATCCCCAAAATAGAAATTAAGAGAGAAATTTGAAAAATGAAAGTAACCAGATACAATGCTCAAAATAAAAAGCCCCTCTAAAGTCTAAACAAATTTTGCTTTACGTAATTTTATTTATTTTTTTAAATTTATATTACTGTATTTTTATTTTCTTTTGTTTATTTATTATGGTCTCTCCTGTCATCTTCAACTTTATGGGAAGGAGCTTCTTTTTAGGTTTTTGTTAAAACTTTGACGAAAATTAATAATTTTTTTTTACTAAATTACCCTTACAATATCAAGAAATTTACAACAAATCTTGATTGGGGAACTGAAACTTGGAGGGGTAGATTGGTAAATTTGTTTGAAAGTGGAAGGTTCTTATTAAATGGTGGGTGTTTTTAATTTGATTTTTTTTTTTATTTATTAAATTGGGAAGTTGGAAGGGGGTAAGCAAAGATTTGGCTCCCATCAAAGAAAAGCAAAGAGTGGTGTGAATACAATAAGATATTGACCACCAAACTCTCAACTCTCAACTCTCAAGTCAATTTTAAATCAATTTTTTTTGGATCAAACATAATTATAAATTAAGATTTGATTGTTGATTAATACTACATGTAACACTAATTAAAATGTTTTGGTGTGACTTGTACGTGTAGTAAAACAAGATATTATTATAGTCGGTAAGTAAATTGTTCACTATCTTAGGAAAACAACATAAATTATTCACCAACTTAGTAAAATTGCGTATTATGAAATATTATAAGTAACCAATTAGGTAAATAAATTAGTCACCAATTTATGTTTTCAAGCTTGCAAACTAATTGTACAATTTGTGTTTTCACTAACACCCCACACACTATCTAAAACTCGTGTCGATTATAAGCATTCTTTTAAAAATGAAGAGGAGATTTGGGGGTAGGAATTCCCGTAAAATAATAATAATAATAATAATAAAAAAAACAGTTAGATGAAGGATTATAAATGGTGTATGTGAAAAAATAGAAGAATGCTTCGGCAAATTCACACTTAAATCCTATACTAGGATACTCATATGACATGATAACAGGTTTGCATAAGAGCAAATCAACCCAACAATGCATTTGATTCTAATTAATCCCTGCTTAAGAGAAGAAAAAGCCTGTACAATGTAACAATGATCTATAGAAGACAAGCGTGAAATCAACCACATCAAATACCTCCTCCGCCATAAGGACTAGATCTCATTTTGTGAGTATTTTGATGAGAACTGAAAGATGCTCCAGTGATCCAAGACAATGTTTTTGTAGCAATTTATTTTTCCTTCTTCATAAACATTTATCAGCTGCCCAGGTCCCCCGCATAAAAAGTAGGTAAGAGGTGCCTGGGTGCCAAAGTGAGCGACACTCAAACAGTCGGGCTACAGCACATCCTCGAGACGACGTGTACTTCGAAGTACTAACAAATCACTGGTTCGAGGTAGCTCAACAAGATATAGCTGACAGTAAATAAAACCAATGCTGGAAAACAAAATTACTTTAGCAATGTAAAGCAAAACACACACCCAACTAAGACTCTATATACAATATTCTCTTACACCACTACAAAAACATAGAGAGAGAGAGAGAGAGAGAGAGAGAGAGAGAGAGAGAGGGGGGGGTAGGGGGGAGATAAAAGAGCTCATTTTGAGAGCAACACAATCGCTTCAGTCTAGATGTTCTTCACACAAATGCGCCATTCTTGGTTTTACCGTTAGAAGGAGCAAAACTGTCTAAAAATCTGGAAAAAGGGGGAAGAAAAATTGCAGATATGACACATGTTTTACATCTTCTAAATACAGTGACTTGAGTAGGTCCTCTTTTGCACCTTCAAATTCCACAGCTTCAGCTGCAGCAAGGGCTGATGATGTTCGAAATTGAATAAGATGAAGGATTGATTTTCTTTTACAGTGACACTTGCACCATATTCTTCAAGCAGGGTTGTTATCCAAATTCTTAAGCAGGAAACAGATTCAATCATCTCAATGCTTAACCAAATTCTTCAAGCAGGGTTGTTATTACATTCTTAGTGCCTGCAAATAGAATGGCGAGAAAATTCAGAGGAGCATAGAAAAGAGAATATTGATCAACACAATTGACATAAATACATGAATCATGAGACTATTAAAACTGTGAAATTTATTTTATCTGTTCGTTTTTAATATAAATATCTACGCTCAAACTAGACCTTTAGAGCTCTTTGCTAGTTTAGTTGCACCACTCCTCAACACCCCAGTTCTGACTACATACTTACGTATCCAGTTCTATGACTACAATCATATGTATATAGATCATTGAACTGTTGCAACCTATCTCAGCTGTCACTCGAATAAATTAGGGAGTGCAAGTCTGCAAGTTAGAAACTAAGCAGCATATAGAAGAAAAGCTGGGTCTCTTGAAGCAGCTTAATACTTTTCCTTAAACTTAATATATTTACACTACTAGCAGCAAAACTCCCTTTCACTCGTACACAATGCTTAAGATCAACGTAGATCCTACCTGAGTCCCACAAAAACTAGAGAGAGCGTTCTGCACTGCGATGCTTGCACTAGCCATCAGCTCAGCTCTGCACAATCAGCATCTTTTATAATTATTAATACCAATAACAACACATAATACTTAGTCAACGAGCTATGGAGAACTAAAAAAAAAAATACTTGTATATTGTATTACCTTTAATAGAAGGTTTATTATATTTGTTTTTTCGTTTTTTATCTTTGTTCCAGTCACGATCTTCTCTTTCTATTTCATGGTTATCTTCATCTCCTACATCACTTTCACTGGCTGTTTCCCATTCAGAATCATCAGTCTCTTGACCAGAATTGTCACCAGCACCAGCCTCGCCATGAACCCCTCCATGCTTCATAGCTGCTTCCCTAAATAACCAAGCTGCACGCATTTGCTTTTTAACTAAACGCTCAGCATAGTCAGGAACTTTATTTTGCCTCAATGAGAGGTCAGGATCATTTGACTGACAGCATTCATTGATAAATAAAATGGCATCTAATAAGCTCTCTTTGGCGAACCCAAGCATGTCATAAGCCTGAGCTCTTCTCCAAAGGCTTTTAGCATGACGATTGACAGGATTATGTAGACAAAGAGCACGTGTAGCATCGCTTATAGCAGCCAGGGGTTGCTGCAAGAGCAGATGGCATTGAGCACGATTACTATATAAGACAACTCTCTCTTTCTTAGATCTCATTGGACATAATGACAAAGCCTCCGAATATTTAGCTGCAGCCCCAGCTATGTTTCCAGCAGAGAATTGTGAATTCCCCTCAAGCTTGACCACCAAGCCAGCTGCCTGTTTTATATGCAAGTCCTCTTTGGGCATGTTCTTCTCGGACTTCAATCTTTGTCTGGCACTCAGAACCTCCTCAATTTGTTCTTTTATGTGGTCACTCAGAGAGTTACGACCAGCAGCTGATGTGAAATGAACAACACATTCCGGAAGAGCATTAACAATGGAATCTCCCAATTTTTTGTGATCCCCAAGGGTTGATATCTCTGATAGATCCAGTAAAGCAGGCACTGCCTTCTCAAAAACCTGCAGATCAGAATGAGAAGCAATTATACACATAAACAAATAATTCATTTGAACTTATGAATTATTCTCGGAAAGGTTCAGAAAAGGAAAGTAGCATCATGCCACAAGACAAAATTATGCTTTCTTTATCGACTAATAAAAAATTATAAACGAAGTACATAATTTTTTTATTGAAATACTAATTTATTAAGATCAGCTGATGTCCATTTCCCTCAGTAAAATTATCTTCAAGAAGGGTTTTGCAAAAGAATATTACAGATTATAAGCCTCAGAGGGTCTCCAAGTGGCACGACATGATTTATATTAGAAAGTTCATACATGCTTGTAAATTTATTGAACATGTCTAGACACAGTTGGTATTCAAAACTTTCACAAGGGATACTTCTCACTGGCTAGGCTCTCTAAAGTTCACAATTATAATGAAGATCCCTATCAAGATTCAGCTCAGAGCATTACCTTGTGACAAGTGCTTGTATCCTGGAGCAACCAAAGAAGACAATCAACAGCCATATATTGCCAATCATCTGAGGAGCGAGCAATATTGCACAGTGCTTCAATAACTCCAGGACAGTTAGCAACAGGTCCCCGGCCAAGTTTATGATGACAAATTGTCCGCAACAAACCAATGCCCGCAGGTGAGTTTTCATTCACAAGTCCACCCCACATACCTGGCAGCTTTGAGAGGAACTCAGGCTTGCATATAGTAGGAAGGAACTCAGGTTTAAATGCAAAGCAGTTTATTAGCTGAAGGGACCAGCATTGCAGTTGACTTGCCCATTCCTCTGCCTTCCTAGACTCCATTTCCACTCCTCCCATGCCACGTGTTAGCAAATCACAATGATAACTAAGTCTTCTGTCAACATACTGATAAAAATGTGTGTAGACAATTTCTAAGCAGCTCATCGCCAGTTGAATAGATAGCTCAAGAATTTCACCATGACTTGCTATGGCAGGAAAAGTACTAGCATAAGTGGCCAAGTGTCCAAGAGCTCGAACTGCTACCCTTTGTTCAACCCAAGTCAGCCTACCCCTTAGAAGTTCTACTAATGGAGGGATTACTCCAGCATGAACAGAAGTTTCAGCAAATTCCTCCATATTCATAGTGTACGAACCAATTATATGGGCAGCATAGTAAGGAATGTATATATTTTGGTCATGAGAAAGCCACCGACGATTCTTTAGGCCTTTCCATATAAGAGCCGACATGCATTCAAATATTCCCAATTCAATGAACTCAGGGTCATTTGGATGTGCCATGGCAGTGTTCCAAAGGCCACTGATAGGAAGAACCTGGCCATCATCATCCTGTGAAGGAAGTTCTCTGAAAAATTTATGAATGTTAGCTCTACGCTTACTTGGGTTTCCCTCCTTCATTACACAGAAAAAGCATCCCGGATAAGGGCATTCCTGAGGTACTTTATCCATACTGTTCTTGACTCTTCAATGAATATCTAGGCTAACTCTTCATGAAGTTACGACCCTATAACCTGAAGGCTGCAAGGTTATAGGTACTGGCTAAGCATCCAGCTGAAAATGCAAAACAGTCCTCCCCTGTGCATGGAAAGAAATTTCGTCAATGCGCTTAGGAAACAGAAATATAATACCCATTTGATTTACAAAAAGTCCTCCAAACTTGTTGAGCTCATCATATCACAGTAATCGCACTCATAGCAACTTCAATAAACACCAAAAAGTATCACTAGCTAGTTGCTACTATCAACAAACTCGCACTTCTTGCTAGGACTAAAGAAAAGGCAAGAATTTACTGGAAGAAAAATATGACATGAAAGATAATTTTCCCGGGTAGGCCAACACTCTTTTGTGCTACAATACACATAGACTGATTAATCAGTTTTAGGAGAATATATCAAGTAGAATATGCTTGAGTAGAGATAGTTTATAATTTTATATATAAGACTGATGATTTTAACCTACCATTTACTACCTGGATTGAATAATGTTGACAACATTTAAACCTTCATAAACTGTTCATACAACCAAATTTGTACCAATTCCAACTAGGCTTCACACCCAAGGGTGCCAAACCACTCATGCAGGACTCGTAAAAAAGGTAAACCTCGATAAACCAAATATAAGCACGACTGCACGAGAGCAACATACTTAGGCCATAATAGCATCACAAGCAAAAAGCCAATGGCCATAGCATCCAGATACTAATGGTTTAAAATTTTATCACCAACTTACAGCTTATGTGTTCATAAAGTGAAATCATTTCCCTTTTCTTTCTGGGATTGATATAAAATGAGTTCAAATAGCAGCTTCATCGATTGCGGTCCAATAATCAGTTTAGTTCATCACTAACCCTAATTAATCAATCAATAAAATAACAAAAATTGCAGCATTATTTTGCCCAAAGTATCGCTAAATATCAATTTAGCGACACAAATCTACACAATTTCATCAAAATATCTAACCCATTTGGCAGTCAACGACAAAACAAAGCAATATAAAGAACTATAAGAATAACACACCAAATGTGAGCATAATTGAGAGACAGTAAAACTAGGGCATTCAAATTCACTCATACCCAGAAACTTTCATGAATCATTTCAATAGAAAACTGTCATAAATCATACAAATTACGAAAAATGAAGAATTAAAATCCCAGAAAAAAAAAAAATGCAAATGGGGTTCACCTGAAATGATTGAATGTTTCGATTTTCACAAATCTACCGGTCAAAATGGATAAATTGATAGTTCAAAAGTTGAAACTGATAATCTCCCCTTGATTTTTCTGGGTTTAGAGGTTCTAGTCGGAAAATCTACTGGGGTTGAAGAGAGAGAAAGAGGAGAGAGGGAGGAGCTGAAATGAATGAGTGAAAATAGTGATTAATAATTTTTGTCTTTGTTTGGGCAAAAAGATTAAATTCGAATGATGAACGGTAATATTAATTATTCATTATTCATTATTCATTCATGGTGCAACGTACATGTACGATATGAGTCATAGACTGGTAGGACACCAATTCGTTTAATCATGGTGTTTTTATGGTATGGATGGACTATGGGCAACCTCAATTCAACCTAGCTTGATTTTGTTGCACGATTAAGTGTTTGTTGCGGAGTACTTTGTTTGATACGCATTCGATCACATGATGGTCGTAAATGACGGTCGAGCTTAGTAAGGCTTTGTTCACTTCACCTTAAAAAATAATATTAAGTAAAAATAATTTTAGTTTAGCAAAAATAATTTCAGTTCAGTAAAATTCAGTAACTTTACAGAAAAAATATAACAGAAAATCAGTAAAAATAATTTTAGTTTAGCAAAAATAATTTCAGTTCAGTATAAATAATTTCAATTCAGCAAAAAAAATTTCATTTCAATAAAAAATAATTTCAGTTCAGCAAAAAAAAAAGGTGAAGTGAATGGGACCTAAGATCCTTTTTCCATTCTTGTAAAATAAAATAAAATAATAACATATACTCGATATAGTTTAAATAGCATTGAGATTCGAAAATTAAAGAGCATAAACATCTATTTCTAATGATCATGCAAACAAAAAAAAAAAAAATAATCTTATACTGTATGTGTTGATTTCAAAATTAATTCCTCAATATTATTTTTATTGTCAGCCTAAAACCACTAACATCGTTAGAATTTATACTAATAAATCTGCTAATTGTATCAACGGTTTTTATCTTAAAAAATAAATAAATAAAAGTTTATCAGTAGTAAAGTTGTTTAGATTAGCTAATAAGAAAACATAGCTTTTCATTGCACAGTGATTGTTGGGGGGTCTTCACTAACATACTCCGTATTTGGTTCCACCAAGGAGTAGGAAAGGTTACCTCAAACTTTCTCTTGATAACGTTGGAATTTTATATTAAAGGGGTGTATTGACTCGTGATTTGAGAAAACTCGACTTCGCATGTTAAATGAAAACCTCTAATATTGTCAACGATTTTAAATAATGAAGAACTGATATTGTGAGTGGTTTGGTTTCAAAAAAAAAAAATATCGTGAGTGGTTTAATTTATGATTCTCCAACTAATCATATGAGTGCCTGAATGATATATTAGGAGAGCTGTTTTAAGACCAACATATAAGGAATAAGCCAAGTTTGGAATCGCTTTAACAAAATATAAGAGTAACATTAAAAAAAAAAAAAAAAACACACACACACACAAACACATTATTACATATATAAGGAATAAACCAAGTTTGAGGACTGTGTTAAAATCCTACAACTGCCTACGTCAGTGACATTGCAAGATGACTCTCTTTTCTGGTGGCCTGCAAAAAATGGTGAGTACAACGTTAAATTAGGTTACCGGTGGGGTCGAATGGGGCAAGTACCTGATGGTGAGATTGGCAATGCGGAAGAGGACAGGGAGGTGTGGAAGCTAGTTTGGTGTTCTGATCGCCAACCAAAGCTTAACCACTTTCTCTGGAAGGCTTGCAGGGGTAGCATGGCTGTTAAAGAGGTCCTGTTCAAGCGTCACATTGCTAATGATGAGCTTGTGGATTGGAAGTGGAAACAATACACCATGTGTTGTTTGAATGTCATACGGCCAAGGATGTATGGGCTGCTAGTGATTTTCAGAATCTCATTGTTGATGCTCCTAATTCGTCTTTCAAGTCTACTCTTCTGTGGATTGCGAGCAAAATTGATGAAGCTCAAATGGGTAAGCTTCTTGCTATAATGTGGTCGATATGGTTCTGCAGGAACAAATTGGTTTTTTGAGCAAAAATCTTTGAATGGGTTACATATGGCCCTGAGCTTTATCAAGAAGGCTGAGGACTACAGGGATTATGCGCATAAAGCTCAGGCCTGCAATATACCGATGATATCGAGCTGGGTCCGACCTGCTGAGGGAGTGCTGAAAATTAATGTTGACGCCCATCTGGCATCAGCATCTTATGTTGGCCTTGTGTAGTGGCTGAGAGACTGCAATGGGGGGCTTGTGTTTGCTGCTGCTCAAAGAATTGAAGGTGTATGGGATGTCGAACAGGCTGAAGGTGCTGCTATCAGATACGGCCTCCAAGTGGCGTGGCGTCTTGGCCATCGTAGCATCTGGGTAGAGACTGATTCGTGGAATGCTTGCAATAGGGTGCGAAATCGAATGACAGGCTTTGCTCCTTTGTGTCTTGTGTATGATGATATCCTCAAGCTTGCTACAAGTTTTGACAACTTTAGCATATCTCATGTAAAAAGGGTTGGGAATTCCATAGCTCACCTTGTGGCGAGGTGGGATACATGGGGTAATTTAGAACGTGTTTGTATGAATTTATTTCCGCAAAGCCTAGTTGCTTTGGCGGAGGCTGATTTACATTAATAAAATTCCCATCCTAACATTTTTCCTAAAAAAAAAAAGGAATAAACCAAGTTTAGAATCGCTCTAACAAAATGTAAGAGTAACTTGAAAAAAAAAACACACTCACATTATTACATAATAAAGGTATACAATAAGAAGAAAAAAAAATTGTCTAGTTAAAAATAGTCCAGGTTAAATAAAGTTGAGCTTGTTTGGGTTATATATATTATCGAGCTAGATCAATATGTAGGTTAGGTTAAATAAAAGTTGGGTCTATATGAGTTACATATATTGTTAAGGTTTGATTAATAACAATTCGAGTAAGTACAAGTTGTATAATTACAAGATAAGTAAAATCATGTATTCATTTGGGTCTAAATGATTTAAAATAGACTTTGAGTTGGATGCACATCAGATTCGAGGTGTGAAATTATCGTGTGTAATTAATTAGTTCCAGCTAGACATAGGTCAGTTGTAGTAATATGGGTCAAATTTGGGTTATTAAATATCTAATCAATTTTAGCTATCCTTCATATAAGATGAATTTGGATCTAAGGTTTCTCTAGTTATATCATTTCAATTTTAGGTAAAAATGGATATAAAGCTAGGATGCACGATTTTTTCTGGTCACCAAGAAGCTAAGAACAATTTGTTTAATTTTAAACCAAAGGAAAATTTAATTTATTTATTAATCGATTAATTTTAATTTTACAATCTCATTTGTTCGTGTTGGGTAAATTATTTTCAATCGTAAATTTATTCTTACTTTCATATTTGTGGAAAAAAAAATCTATTATATGAGTTTTTATTATAATTAATTTAAGCTTTAAAATATTTTTTATTGAGTTTTGTTTTTCCTTTGTGCTACTTAATTTTTAAATCACATTTGTTACTTTTTGTGTAATTGTTCTCGCGGCTATTGAATTTATATTTTAATTTTAATCGAGTACTTACTTGTGGATAGAGGTAGAGATGATTAACTATGACATGTCCTGCTAATCCGACCCGATCCACGGGGTTGGGCGGTCAAAAAATAAATAAATACATTTTTAATTAAAAATCCAAACATGGTCTGATAAAAGTCTGCAAGTTTTTGCGTGTATGGACATGTAGAAATTGTTATATACACTCGGGTGCACGGTGCACGGTGCACGGTGCACCTAAGGGTATTGTTTGCTCATTTCGATGATTATTGCTCATTTTATCATTAAATGAGCAAACAAATACCCTTGGATGTAGTGTGCATCCCGGGATATATAACAATATCTCTAGCTCTAACCCCATCCGAATTTGTGATCACCTATTCAATTCTACTTCTAGATTGATTTTCTACCTTTTCGGGTCGGATCAGTTTTTTTACATCTTTGGCGTTTGCGTGTCATCAATACTGTACTCCGTAATATTCCTTCCTCCTAGGTCTTTTTTTCTTTCCTCCCTTTTCACGCTTACGCTGCCTCGCTGCACCTCCTCTCTCTCTCTCTCCTCCATTGAAGCGGACTCCGAATTCTCCATTGAAGCGGCTTTTAAGCTTACTCTCTTCTATTGAAGCGGCTTCCGAAGTAACATCCTTTTTCCTTTAATTATCGAATATCAATTACACAATCCAGTAAAAATCGTTGATTTAATTGTCAGTATAGTCCATTTAGGGCTCTTCGAAGGTAGATTTTTGAACTATTGATTATAATCACTGAAGTCATAAAAGATTATGAAGAACGATCTGGTTGCTAGAAATTTTCTGTTCATATTATTAAGTGAGAAATTTAGCCTTTTTTTTTGCTTACTTTGATAATTGAGTCAAATTTGGTTGCTAATGTGTTGCGGAACCCTTTAATGTTAGAACGTAATCATGACGACTGCTTTTGCTCAGGGACGGGCCTGAACCGCCGACCGGATCCCGAGCTTGTTTATTGATTGGCACCGCTAGATAGCAACTTATTTCCTATTAATGTTGGATGTCGTGTTTCCGAGAGGCTAAAGTGGTTGTGGGTATGCCGGACTGGATCTCGAGCTTGTTCATGTGTTGGCATACTCTGGATTCAATATGCTTTGTTGCACCTCTAGTTTTAATGTAGGGTTAGATACTTAGATATTAACTTACCTATTAATGTTGGATGTCGTGTTTTCCGAGAGGTTGAGATAGTTATATCGGGGATGTTGATCTTATTATAGTTTTTGGCTTACTCTGGATTCAATTTGCTTTGTTGCACCTCCAGTTCTAATATAATAGGGTTATATAGCAACTTATTCCCTTTAATGCTGGGTGTCGTGTTTTTTGAGAGGCTGAGATGGTTATGCCTTACGTGTTTTCTCTTGCAAAATGCATGAGTGATGACTAGTCTTACCTTTTTCCCCCTCTTGTCATCTTGTGTAGTGTGATGATCCTTATTTGTGTTGGTAATTTTTTGCTCTTTTTCTCTCTTGGTGGTTACAGGTCTGCGAATTTCACCCTTCAATTCTACAACAAGATGTCAGACCGTTTGACACGTATTGCAATTGTGAGCTCAGATCGATGTAAGCCAAAGAAGTGCCGTCAGGAGTGCAAAAAGAGTTGTCCTGTGGTCAAGACAGGTATGCAATTATTTGTGTGTACAACAATTTCTTGTTCTGGTGGAAATGATATACTTCAGCTGCGTGATTGACTTCTTTCCTTTTATGTTATATTCTGGATGACACGCTTGTAGAATCTGTAATCCATCTCTTTTAATGATGCATTTGTTTGTACCCTATCTTGATGATTTCATAATTGCAATGTATACAAAATTGTAATGAATATTTACTTTCCAACGGCAATGATTTGCACGCTGATCTTATGGATTAACTTAAGAATGTTGTTTGAGGGTTCTATTAATTAGATTCATCATGTCATGGGGCATTGGTATTTCAAAATTTCTCTCTTGCTTTATCTCTATTGTGCTACATGCTTCTATTTGTGTATGCATAGTCACATAGTTGTGTGGTTCAATGTGGGAGTGAGAGAGAAAGGGTGTCTTATTACAATTTACGATCCAAGAGTGTTTTTTTTTTTTTTTTTTGAAAAAAACCTTACGAGACAACTAACAAAACTTTGTTTGGACTCTTGGTCATGGCTGGATGATGTCTTCGCTAGTCAGTTTGTGGCTGGAGTTTTGAATTGGTAGTCATGCTCATACACCTTATGACATGTGACCAACCTGTTATCATTTTACCTTTTTCATTTCAGGGAAGCTATGTATTGAGGTTGGCCCATTAACAAAACTTGCTTTCATTTCTGAGGAGCTGTGCATTGGATGCGGTATTTGTGTCAAGGTCAACACTATAAACTATGCTGCTTTTCTCTATTCTCTATCACTCATACACATGTGTTATATGCTTATATGAGAATATAACCACATTACGTGTTGCTGGGTGTGCCTGATTGTTTCTTTTGTTTTGATTGTGGAAATCTGGATTCAGAAATGCCCTTTTGAAGCAATTCAGATCATTAATCTTCCAAAAGATCTGAGTAAGGATACAACACACCGTTATGGCCCCAACACTTTCAAATTACACAGGTTAGCTTATTTGTGTCCTGTTGATTCTGGGTTCTTTTGGCTCTTTTGGAATTTAATTGCAAAACTATTTCATTATAGGCTACCCGTCCCAAGACCAGGACAGGTTCTTGGCTTAGTGGGAACAAATGGTATTGGGAAGTCAACTGCTCTCAAAGTTTTGGCTGGAAAATTGAAGCCCAATTTGGGGAGGTTCAGCGTAATATGCTGAATTTTGATGACTTTTGTTTATTGCTTCTTGATACCTACTGCATATTTACTGGATAATGCGTTTTCTGCAGAATCCACCTGACTGGCAGGAAATCTTAACATATTTCCGTGGATCGGAACTGCAAAATTATTTTACACGCATATTGGAAGATAATCTGAAGGTAGCTATATCCTCTTAGTTGATTTTACTTTTAGTTCATTTTTACACACAAATCTGGTGCTGAACGTATTATATAATAGATGTGAGCAATCCTTGTTTATTGTAGCCTCTTCATTATCTTTTTGCTAATGCTTGTCTATGAATAGGCCAATATCAAGCCTCAGTATGTGGATAATATTCCAAAGGCAGTCCAGGGCAATGTGGGAGAGGTCTTAGAACAGAAAGATGAGAGAGACATGAAGCTTGTACTCTGTGATGATCTGGAGCTGACTAAAGTTCTTGATCGTAAAGTGGGTGATCTATCCGGTGGTGAACTGCAGAGATTTGCCATTGCAGTTGTGGCTATGCAGAGTGGTGAAATATATATGTTTGATGAACCTTCAAGTTACTTGGATGTGAAGCAGAGACTCAAAGCTGCACGAGTTATTAGATCATTGCTGAGCCCCAAAAGGTATCTTTCAATATTTGATCTTTGCTACCCTTTATTTTATGCTCTCTACTGGAAGATAACTAATTGAAGCTTTTTTTGTCATTTTAATTTTTGTGTTTTTAGCTATGTCATAGTTGTGGAGCATGATCTTAGTGTTCTAGACTATCTTTCAGACTTCATTTGCTGCTTATATGGTAAACCGGGTGCATATGGAGTTGTGACCTTGCCATTCTCTGTTAGAGAAGGAATCAATATATTCTTAGCAGGGTTTGTTCCCACTGAAAATCTTCGTTTCCGAGATGAATCTCTTACATTCAAGGTATTATTCACAATGCATATCTTCTGGTTGCTCACTATATATGTCAGTCATCTCATGTGTGATTTTTCTAGGTTGCCGAGACACCTCAAGATAATGCTGAGGAGGTTGAGACATATGCTCGATACAAATACCCAACAATGACAAAAACTCTGGGTGGTTTTAAAATGTGTGTCAAGGAAGGTGAATTTACAGATTCACAGATTATTGTGATGTTGGGAGAAAATGGAACAGGGAAGACAACATTTATCCGTATGCTGGTAAATTCTCTTTACATAAAAACTGCGAGCTGAACAGATCTGATATTTGTTTTTTATAAATATTTATTTGCGGGTTGCCTGGTTAGAGAAAATGAGTAGAATTGTTTAACGTCAAGATTTATGTTGAAGGGCTTTGGATATGAATACACTTTCAAATGTGAATTTTCAGGCTGGTATACTAAAGCCTGATGACGTGGAATCTTCGGATGTGGATGTGCCTGAATTTAACGTTTCTTACAAGCCTCAGAAAATCAGTCCAAAATTTCTAGGCTCTGTGAGGGCTCTTTTACATCAGAAGATAAGGGATTCATATACTCATCCTCAGTTTAATTCAGATGTCATGAAGCCTCTTCAGATTGAGCAGTTAATGGATCAAGAAGTCGTGAATCTATCTGGTGGAGAGTTGCAAAGAGTTGCATTAACTTTGTGTCTGGGAAAGGTATAGTTCTTCCTCTGGTTTCCTGTCTCTTTTTCTTTGCCCTGCCTTCTATTGTGTCAGTCCTTTGTTACAGTTGCATGATATACATGAGGGATCAGTAAATATGTAGTAGAAATATGTTGTAGTAATTTGTGTAGATGCTCTTTAGTTATAGATGACAGGAGGTCTTTAAGCTTTACACGGTTTATCATATATCTTGTGATGGATCCTTGTTTTCTACTTAGTGAACGGATGGATTTTATGTTTCGTAACTATCATAAGATGGCACAATTTGTGATTAATGATTTTGTACTCATGCAGCCTGCAGATATTTATTTGATAGATGAACCAAGTGCATATCTGGACTCCGAACAGCGTATAGTGGCTTCAAAGGTGATAAAGAGATTTATCCTCCATGCCAAGAAGACTGCATTTGTTGTTGAACATGATTTTATAATGGCAACATATTTAGCAGACAGAGTAGTTGTTTATGAGGGGATACCATCGGTAGATTGTACTGCCAATTCTCCCCAATCGTTGTTGAATGGAATGAATCTCTTCTTATCGGTAAGCCTTACCTTCTTTTCTTTTATACCTGCATATCTATTTCAAAACTCTATTGAATATCACCTGAATCCACCAAGTTATGAAGTATCAATCTTAGTTGGATTTTATCAACATAGCCTTTCCTGATATTTTGGGCTCTTTGCAATGCCGTTTGCATAGTCTGCAATTTTTTCTGTCTTATTTTGGTTCACAGTATTATGAATTTGTGATCTATAACTTCTATCAACTTTATTTATTTATTCATTTTTATTGCAGCATCTGGATATCACATTTAGAAGGGACCCAACTAATTATCGTCCTAGGATTAACAAGCTAGAGTCTGCGAAGGACAGGGAGCAGAAAACAGCAGGGACTTATTATTACCTGGATGATTGATGGGGTTTTCACTTTTCACCAAGGTTTGTCATTCGCTAGAATAAAACTTGTGTATTATTTTCTTTCTCTACCCTTCCGCCCCGCCCCCCCCCCCCCCACCCTCCCCTCTTCCCCTCTCTCATTTTAATTTAAATGAATGTCTCTGTTATTCAACTATATTGCTCACTCTTAGTAATTAGAGACTGATATTTTGGTTTATGCTGTTGTTCTATCTATAGTAACAGTGCAATTTTGATGGAGAGATTTTGTACTGTTTTTGTTCGTCTTTGTAACAGCTTTTGCCTTTTAGGGTTCCTGAAGGAGGATTAAGATAGTATGTGTAGAAGTTTGAACTATTGCAATTCATTCAACAACGTTGTCAAAGATGTGTTTTTTTTTTCCATAGCTTTTAAAGCTTCCTTTTCTTGTCAAAAGGCTTTTACGCATAGCTGAATAACACCCAATTACAATTTAATGCGGAGAACATACCTTGGAAGAATATGTAGAGAGGTAGAAAAAGAGATTTTGAAATTGGAAAATGACTTGCCAAGGAATGCAAAAGGATAGATGAGAGAGAACTCAAGAAGAGTGATGGAAGGAAATCAAGGAAGCTAAAGGAGGGCACAAAAGAGAGAGAGAGAGAGAGAGAGAGAGAGAGGATGAGATGAATGGAGAGCAATGGTGAGAAGGAAAGCAAGGGAAAGGACAGACATGTATCCAAAAGGGAGCTCGAGGGAAAAATGGTCCGAGGAGAGCTTGTGGGCTAAGTAGACAGAACACTGTTTCTAAGCTACAGTATTTGGAATCCAAACGTTTTCTAAGGGTTATAAGGATACCTTACCAATATGTTTTGAGAAAAACAATTAGTCAATTGTTGAATAATGGAATCTGTGAATTAGTTTCAGATATTTGTAAGTAATTTAATCATTGAGGGATTTTTGCCTTAGATGTTGATGATTGGTGACTTGAAAAATACCATTGCTCCTAGGGTCATATTGTCGTAGGAACATGTTTTCTTTTTATCCTATGCTACATATGTGTTTATATTCTTTTCCACCAGCCAAAGTTTAAATCCTTGTGTTTGAAATCTGTCTTTACAGGAGTTTATGGTCCACTACCCTTTGGATTTGTTGTTTCCAGCATCGGATGCACTGGGATGCTGCAAGGTTTTGACTCTGGATGTCTTTTGTTGTCTTGCCTATGATCCTGTCATGTGGTCATTACTTATCACCTTTTCCTCTGGAAAAATGCAGCATTGGTTATCAAATTTAGAGGGGACCTAACTATTATCACCCAAGGATTGTGAAACTAGACTCCGTGAAAGACAAGGAGCAGAAATCTGTCAACAAATTATTCCTGGATGATTGATGTGAATGTCATGTAGGTTTTTCCTTCACAGCTAATTATTCTCTGTTTTCTGTACCCTCACTGTCCTTAAGCAAGACCGCACAAGTTATCCTTAACTGTTATTAATAATGTCATTTTCTCTGTGTTGGTTGATTTGCTCTCGCCACCAGCCAAATTCTGATGCTCTATTTATTGATACCATCCTTGCAGGAGTCTTATGGAATTGTATGTTGGCTATTGTTTCTTGGAGCATAGGTGACTGAATGATTGGAAGAGATTGTTTGAGGGTGGCAATTTTTTATCGTCCTGCTCGTGTACTGATTCCTGTTTCTGCTAGCCTTTGTACTAATATTCTCTGAAGCATATGATCTCTACTATTTTGACTAATTCTGCGACAGGAGGTTTTCTTATGCTGCATGTTTATCGTTCTTATTAGTGTGACTGTTTGAGTGGATTTTGGCCTTGGCCAATTTTGACATGGATCAGAATTAGATTAGAATGTTCTTGCTAATGGGGCCGAATAAAATGTTGTGCTTGATATATTTTGGTGCAAAGAATATATCTTTACGTTGATACAAAATCTGTTTTATACCTAGTGCCAAGTATTATTTTGTACCATGAAATGCTGCTGTTTTGAGTCTAAACTGTCCAAGTATACAATTTGGATGTACTACATGAAAACATTTCTATGTTTTAGTCCACTGACTTGTGTATACTCAATAACTTGATACATGTCTACGGATTCAACTCAGCTGTGGTTGATGAAACATATCCATGTTTCGGTCAAAAATGGTGTTTCACTCACTCATGCTTGTTGTTCATATGCATGTCCAAGTATCGTGGCAAGTGAACTTGATTTCAGCTACCGTGTACTTTATTTCAGCATTATCAAGTCGGTGGCAGACTTCAAAACAATAGTTTTGCTATTGACTTTTTGTGCTATTTATGCGTATATATTGGTCATAATTTTAAAAAATAATATATAAAAAATTGGACGGAGTTTTAGTTTGAAAGACAAGTCACTTAACGTATGTGTTATTGTTTTTAAAAATATGCCAATTAATTGACTTGGGTTAGTTTTCGTAATGTGATATATAACTCATAGTACCTCAAAGGAAAAAATATCTTCGAAACTCAAATATTGTTAAATCTGATAAAATTTAACTTTAGCTACCTAAAAACCCTAAAATTGTATGCAGTACAACTTTATTAAATATATTACAATTATTTATTTTGGTTACTTTTATGGTATAATTTGATTTTCCGCCTAGTAATTGAACAAAATTATTTTGTATTCTGTCAATAAGTATATTTTGTAAAACACTTCAATATTAATTTCATAAGTTATCCATTTTTTACCTTTAAAAAAAAATCTCCATTTTAAAAACCTAGCTATTTATTGACACGAACACAAATTATATGCACTACTCCCATATATTGTATTTTTTATAAAATAATGTAATTGATTGCGATTGGAAATTTTCTTTCTTATCTTTTAAAGTTTTAAATACGGAGTAATTTTGTTTTCTTATTAGATGTTTTCTTATTTAAATATTTAGGTTTGTTAGTTGTTTTATTTGGGCTCCAAGTCTTATGCGGTTATGCCTAAAATATAGGACGATTCTCCAAATTAAGCTTAATTACGCAACTAATTACGAAAGTAAATGCGTAGCAAAACTATTTACCAAACAAAACTTTTAGGGTAAAACAAAGTGTAAAACACTGCCACAGACAGCGTTTTACATGTTGACTTTGATTTTTTTTTTTTTAATAATTCTTAATTTCTGATTTAAAATAAATAAAAAAATAAAAAAAAAACTTTACATAGAATTTTTTTTTTAAAATTATTATCAAGGGTTTAACATTTGCAGAGAAAAATGGCGTCTTCGATGCTCAAATCCCTGAGAAAATCAGCGCAGCAATTTAGCTCGTCATCATTTCTGTATCATCAGATTTCTTCAACTTCAACAGTACCTTCTCTTCTCAAACCCAGATTTCTTCAACTTCAACAGTACCTAATGCAGCAAATGAAGATAGAAAAAAAACTAAAGAAGAAGAGTATGGTGAAATACCCACTGAAGGAATTAGCAGCCCATGTCTCAAATTCTTAAACAACTCAACAAAAAAGTTACTGATTCTCTTATTAGTAATGGGGTATTGAAAAACTTTTGTTGCTTAGTTTGGTAAATAATTTTGCTTAAGCTTAGTTTAGAGAATCGTCCCCCAGTGCTCCCGTCCTCCTCCTCGTCGTCATCATCATCAATTCAGCATCCTCTATTCTTCGCATTGCTTTTAATTATTTTCTCAAGGTTAGGATTCGTTTATGTAATATTCGTTCTTTTAATTAAAATATTGTTTCTAAGTATTACTCATAAACTCGTTAATTTTAGTTTGCAATTTTGCATTGGACCATCTTATTTTATCGAACAAGTAAAGTAAAATTCCGTATTTCATGATTATTTCATCTGTTTTTTTAGTTGTACCATTTATGAAGTATGAGATATGACCAATGAAATTTATATGGTAAAAAGTTAACAATTTGTATTTCTGAATTCTAATATACATTGTATATTTCTAGAGTTTGATTGATTATGGGATTAAGGCTTTGATTGATTCTAGAGTTTCAAATTTTATGAAGAATTTCAGTTATAGTTGCTTGGACTTTGGAATGTGGCAATAACTTCTAAAAATTATTTGTATTAGTGATTGTTAGAATTTGTTTTGTTGTACGTTGATAATTATATATAGATTGAAGTTATGGTTTTTCGAATTGTACCAAGTGTCTAAGTAATACGGTATTTGATACATATACTCCTTTCGTTCTTTTAGTTCTTCAGGTTATGTTGTTTAGTTAGTTTGGTTTACAAGCATATATGTAATATGTATAGCTTTTGTTAATCATTTTTCGTCTATGATACAATTATGTTGTTTTTTTTGGTTGTTGTTGTTGTTCGTTCTTGTCAAGTCTGAAGTTTGTTGTTTTTTCTTCTATTAAAGTACGAGAGTCATGATGAAAGACCGTTTGCCACGTATTGCGATAGTGAACTCTGATCGTTGCAAGCCCAAAAACTGCAGTCTAGAGTGTAAAAAGAGCTGTCCTGTTCAGACAGGTATGCAATTGTTTTTGTGTAAACCAATTTTCATTTGTTCATGATGCATTCATTTGCTCACAACACAAGATTAAAAAACTCGCGTTCATCTCAGAGGAACTGTGCATTGGTTGTGGTATTTGTATACAGGTCATTAATTCTATAAACTTTGCTATTTAGTACTTATCATTGTTTACACTCACTCATACACTTACATCCTCACATGCACATGATGTATTATGGTTGTTCAGCGCGCCTAATTATTACTTTTGTTTTGATTGTGGATTAATGGATGCAGAAATGCCCTTTTGGAGCAATTCAGATCATTAATCTTCCAAAAAGATTTGAACAAAGATACAACACATCGTTATGGCCCCAACACTTTCAAATTACATAGGTTAGTTGATTGCTTTGTGGTGTGTTGAAGATGAATTCTTATGATTTTTTTTGAGGTCTTAATCGTAGTGTTTCTTAATTACAGGTTACCTGTTCCGAGACCAGGACAAGTTCTTGGCTTAGTGGGAACAAATGGTATTGGAAAGACTACTGCTCTTAAAGTTTTGGCTGGAAAATTGAAGCCCAATTTGGGGAGATTTGATGTAATATGCTTAATTTTAACGACTGTTTGAGTTTTTGTTATTGCTTCCTGGTATCTTTTGCCTATTTACAGAATATACTTATACTGTATGTTTTCTGCAGAATCCGCCTAACCGGCAGGAAATCTTAACTTTTTTCTGCGGATCAGAACTGCAAAAGTATTTTATGCGCATATTGGAAGATAATCTGAAGGTAGCTATACCCTCTTGATTCATTGTACTTCTAGTTCTTTCTTACACCAAAAAATATAAAATGATGATTACTGTATTACTCATTCATTATTTACTTACTGAGTCAGTGAGTCCGTTTCGTGATGGTGTCATGGATAATGTGCTGTATGTGGAATGAGCATTTCTTGTTGATTAATGTTGCCTCGTCTGTTTGTGAATAGGCCAAAATCAAGCCGCAGTATGTGGATAACATTCCAAAGGAAGTACAGGGCAATGTTGGAGATGTCTTAGCTAAAATAGACGAGAAGGACATGAAGGCTTCTCTCTGCAATGATCTGGAGCTGAATAAAGTTCAAGATCGTAAAGTGGGAGATCTATCGGGGGGTGAACTGCAGAGGTTTGCAATTGCAGCTGTGGCTATGCGTAGCGGTGTTGTATATATGTTTGATGAACCTTCAAGTTATTTGGATGTGAAACAAAGGCTCAAAGCTGCCAAAGTTATCAGATCGTTACTGAACCCCCAAAGGTATAGTTTCATACTTGATCTTTCTTGACTTCTTTTTTGAAGTTGTACAGGAAGATAACTTAACTGATAAGCTAATTTGGTCTTGTTTAATTTGTGTTTCAGCTATGTTATTGTCGTGGAGCACGATCTTAGTGTTTTAGATTATCTGTCAGACTTTATTTGTTGCTTATATGGTAAACCGGGTGCATATGGAGTCGTGACCCTGCCATATTCTGTTAGAGAAGGAATCAATATATTCTTGGCAGGATTCATACCCACAGAAAATCTTCGTTTTCGTGATGAATTTCTTACATTCAAGGTATGCTTCCTTGTACATAACATTCTTCCGGTAGCTCTTTTATTTTGTCAGTTAACTCATGTTTGATTATATTCAGGTTGCTGAGACACCTAATGCTGAGGAGATTTGAGACATATGCTCGATACAAATACCCAACGATGACAAAACCTCTGGGTGGTTTTAAAATGCGTGTTTTGGAAGGTGAATTTACAGATTCACAGATTATTGTGATGCTGGGAGAAAATGGAACAGGGAAGACAACATTTATTAAGATGCTGGTAATTTTTTCTTCTCATAAATCTTAAAATTTTCTCAGAAATATACAATATACTTGTTCTGAGGTTAGTTTCAATTTTGAATTTTCAGGCCGGTAAATTGAAGCCAGATACCGGGGAAGCTTTGGATGTGGAAGTACCTGAATTCAATGTTTCTTACAAGCCCCAGAAGATTAGTCCAACATTCAAAGGTTCTGTCAGGGAGTACTTACATCGGAAGATAATGGATTCATATACTCAACCTCAGTTTGTCTCAGATGTCATGAAGCCTCTTCAGATACAGCAGTTAATGGATCAGCAAGTCGAAAATCTATCTGGTGGAGAATTGCAAAGAGTTGCATTAGCTGTGTGTCTTGGAAAGGTGTTCTTATTAGCTGTTTTCCTGTCTCCGTTCTTTCTCTTGCTTATGTCTCAGTCCGTGGTTATTGTTGCATGATTCACATATCGAATCATTGAGTATATACCGTAGAACCTTTTTGTGTAGATACATTTTCTTTACCCTTTAGCATCATAGATGACAGGAGGTGTCTACACCGTGCTATTTTTTTAATGACGGCCTTGTTATAGATCCTTATTTCTTCTTTAAGTGAATGGCTGAAATGTATGTTTCATAAGAAGTATGACACAGTTAACATTAACCATTTTGTACTCATGCAGCCTGCAGACATTTATTTGATAGATGAACTGAGTGCATATCTGGATTCTGAGCAGCGTATTGTGGCTTCAAAGTTGATAAAGAGATTTATTCTCCATGCCAAGAAGACTGCATTTGTTGTTGAGCATGATTTCATAATGGCAACATATCTTGCAGACAGAGTAATTACTTATGAAGGGACACCATCTGTGGATTGTACTGCAACCTCTCCACAGTCGTTGAAGGGAATGAATCTTTTCTTATCGGTTAGTTTGAATTTCTTTCTACATCTTAATCATGTTCATGCTATTATGGATTAGTGAACTATAATTTATATCACCTTTTACTCGAAAAAATTGCAGCATCTGGATATTACTTTCAGAAGGGACCCAACTAATTATCATCCAAGGATTAACAAGGTTGATTCCGCGAAGGATAGGGAGCAAAAATCAGCAGGGACTTATTATTACCTGGATAATTGATAGGGTGTTCACTTTTCACCAAGGTGTGTCCTTCAAAAGAATATAAATTGTGTATTGTTTTCTGTCTTCTGCATTTCTTCTAGTGAAGCTTATTAGTTATGTCATTCAAGTTGCTAGCTTTATTTTGTTTTTAGAAGCTGATCTTAGGTTTATATTGTTGGTTTATCAGTCGACTATCTACAGTTCTGAGCAGTACTGTTTTCGTGTGTCTTTGCCAAAGAAGTATCTTCGTAGTTCATATATTCATATCAAAATTTTATGGACTATTGTTCAAATGATATTTTAGTATGTAATGAGTTATGTTAATGGTTAAAGTTTAAAGCTGAATGTTGAAAGTAATGAATGGACAATCTCAGATAGAACCAAGTATTTTGTTGCTGGATACATTTCATCTTTAGACGTTAGTGATAGGTGTTTCAAAATATATCATTGTGCTGCTATAATTGGGAAGATTTGCCTGTCCAATAGCCTAGGTGTAAATCTTTGTGTGTGAAATTTGTCTCTACAGGACTTGAAGGTCGCAACCTCAAGGGATATGCTGTTTCCATCATCGGAAGCATTGGGATTTGGGATGCTGCAAGGTTTTGATTCGGTTTAAATTTCAATATCGGTCTTGTTTTTGTTCCTGCATAACTGAACCTGTGATTATTACTTATCCCTTCCTCCGGAAAAATGCAGCATCTGAATATCGCACTCAGAAGGGACTTAGCAAATTTTCACTCAAGGATTGACAAACTTTACTCCATGAAAGATATATGGTAAGTTTTCTAGTTCTATTATCTAACAGTGTACACAATTGCCCTCAGTTTTTGTAGGATGGCAAGGTTAGTGGTCTCAGGAACAGTAGAACTTTAATCGTAATAGACTAATTGTCACCAGCCAAAGCCCGAAATCCCTACATTGAACATCCACCCTTGCAGGAGCTTATATAACAAGTTTATGGAATTGGATGCATTGCTGGCTATTGTTTCTTAGAGTCAAGGAAGCTGATCGATTGAACGAGGTTGATCAAGTATAGGCATATTTTGTGGCTTGCTGGCATACTGATATCTGTTCCTGCAAGCTCTGTACTGTATATAATTTCCTGAAGCATAGATTCTCTGCTGATCTGACTGATATTGTGCCGAATTAAGCAGGAGGCTTGCTTAAGCTATACTGGTTTATGCATGCCTTTCAGGCTCTTACTAGTGTGAGTTTACTGCCAATAGGCCCAATATTGACATGGATCACATAAATATTAAATATTTTACTAGTTTGAGACTTTGCGTTCACTAGTATATGTTTGAGAAGTCTTTTGCTGATAAAAATAAACTTGTTAAATTGTTATAATTTTGCTTTATTACACTAAATATTGGGTTGTGAAATGCTTGAAGAATTTTATCAATTAAAGATTAGGTTGTAGTTAAACTCAAATTCCGGCATTCATGTCCCACAAGAGTGCATGTCCAAAGTACCAAACTCATCTATTAATATTGAAACGTTTCAATGTTTTGATTCAAATGAGGTATTAAGTATTCAAGCGCTTGTACACAACTTTGGCTTCATGCATGTACTCAAGGCGAATTGAGGAGTGTTGAATGACACAAGTCACAAAACTTGCAACATTATGTCATTATTATGATTCTATTACACATACTAATAGATTTCATACTTCTTGAGTTTAGCAACGACTAAGGATTTGCTCTCTTCATTTTATTTCAAAAGCTTATACCTCTATATTTTTTGTTTGATTATATTTTTTTAAAAGACACTTTTGTTTTATAATTAAGTAATATTTCGTATATAAATAATGTCAAAGTTCAATTAAATCAAGAGATCAAACCACATTAAATTAAAACTAGTAAATTCAAATGAGAGGACCATTTTCCACGCCCTAAAGCTGCCTAACGAAGTTCATTCATTTCGATTTCTAAAGCTTGTCGCACCACAGTGCAGAAATGTGTGATGAAACTAATGATCGAATTACGAATATAAATGTATTCTTTTGTTAAAGATCTAGTTCAACATGCTACATACTTTTTTTTAACGTAATTCAATATATTTTGAGAAACATTTAGGAGTCTTACTTTCTCACTCCTTTTTTTACACTTTCTAAGTTCTCGCATGGATTCATGGAAGGCAATCATTGTCTATGCATGAAGTAGAAGCCTTACAAATCAAAAGTTAACTTTGTGGGTTATAAAGGTGGGTTTGCATGAAGTTCTTATTTTAATTTATTACTAATTAAATATTTATTTATTTTTTTTGGGTATAAAGTAAAATAACACATAAATGAGCAGAAGAACTAACGTGATAAAAGTAAAATATAAAAAAGGGAATTTATAAGTTTCATATAAAGTTGTGATCACTTTGTGGAGCAAACAATTATTGAGCCTCTAAAAAATGCTTCACTCTTTAAAAGACTAGTCAAAGTTTGTGAGTTGTAATGGTAGATCATGTTTCTCATGGGCTAGATCTTGTTTCCCATCATGTTAAAATAGCAGTGGTATCCTAGATTTTTCTAATAATAGTACAATAAACTTTGGGGATGTGTAATAATTTCTTGTAATGATTATTAATCCTATGAAATACATGAATGATAGATTGTACTAAATGTTTTGTACATATAATTGGTTTGTAAAAGGTACATACCAGTGTTATTTTGATCTTTAATACTTATTATCTGAGTGGGAAAATTCGTTCATTAAATTTGTCATAACACAACCTAAAAGCATTTAAAGTGAGAAAAAAAAGATACAAGAATTTGTATTGTTTGCATATAAATTTGTTTTATTGTTATATATGATCTACAAGCTCAATTATTTATAATGAAGTTGTGATGATATAGCCGTTGCCCGTTGAGTCAATGTCTAAAATATTAAAGTATTTAAAACAATCTTAATCATCAAATACTTTTATGTAAGAAACTCACAAAATCCTTCATATGTCATCTCTACCGTCATTTGGTATATAAAATTGAGTTTGTAGTTCTCATTAAATAAAAAAAAAAAAAAGTCAAAATTATTAAAGAGATCTAAAAGGACAATTAGATACATTATTCTAACAAAAAGTCCACTCATATAGTATTGTGATTAAAATAATTCTTGTTACAACTACTCAACTTGGAACTTGAGCCAATTAGATGCTAATCGGATGTCATTTCAAATCCAGCACATATAACTCATATAGACGATATAGTCATGCAGAGCATTGTAAAACTTTGCATTCACTCATAAGTCATTATCCTTCAAACACAAAATTTTCAAAACCGTCTAAACCTAAAGTATTAAAATTTGTCCGTTCCGAATAATCCGTAATTCACACTCCCCCCACCTACACTCATTCCTTACTTCCACTCCTTCCCTATCCCCCGTAATCACCTAATGCCCACAACGGTAAAATAATAATACTCCTAATTCCTTTCTTCTCTCTGTTCATCTCCTTCCCCCAAAATAATTCTTGATGTCGAACAACTTTCTGGAAATTCCTTGATTCATCATCATTTCAACACTTGCTTTTTTAATCAAATACCTCTATTAATTATGCCGGAAATGGATGGATCAATCAAACCCCCTCAAATTTCTGAGATGTTCCAGAAATTCGCCTTCTCTTTCAAATCCAAAGCTCTTGAATTTTTTGCTGATGATTCCGAAAAATTCTCTCTCCTTGATGCTGGTGATGATGATATTCCCGATGAATTCATCTCCAATCAGAAAGTCGTTGTAAATAAGCCTGACCCACCTCAACAAGTTGGTCCAATTATTCAGAAAGGTAAAGTTCCCCCAAATCCCCAATTTAATCAAACCCTAATTACTTCATTGTTTGCTTCAATTTCATCGTTTGAGGCTTCTTATCTTCAATTGCAAACTGCCCATGTTCCTGTTTTTGATGCGGAAGTATTAAGGAATGCTGATGAGTCCTTAGTTTCTCATCTTCAGACCCTTTCTGAATTTAAGCAGTTGTATAAAAATTACTACCAGAATCCTAATTTTAGTGTTGAATTTTCAACTGGGTCTTGTTTAGAATTTCAAGTTAATGAGAATCAGCATAAGCTTAGGGCTCTTAAGTCTGTGTTTAATCGTTTACAGTCTGAAATTGATGTTAAGGATGAGGAGGTTTCGAGTTTGAGGCAGAAATTGGAGGGATTGAATCGGGTGAATTCGAGGTTGTCGAAAAGGTTGTCCCTTGGTTCTTCAAGGGAGGAGGAGGAGGAGGGTTCTGAGGTTTTGCTAACAGTTAGAGTGTTTGATAGGATGTTGTGTGAGGCATTTAGTTATTCTCATAGGTTTACGAAAGTTTTGATTGGATTGATGAAGAAGGCACATTGGGATTTGGATTTGGTGGCAAGTTCGGTGTATTCGGGTGTTGATTATGTTAAGAAGGCGCACAATCGGTATGCTTTGTTGTCATATGTTTGTTTGAGGATGTTTCAAGGGTTTGATTTGGAGGATTTCGGGTTAGGTAAGGAAGGCGGTGTTTGCAATGGTCATGTTACATCCTCTAAGGGTGAGGAGAATGTTTCTTTACAGCAGTTAAAGGAGCATGTATCAGTCAATTCAATGGAGATCTTGAGAAAGAATCCAAATTGTGAGTTTTCGAAGTTTTGTGAGAGGAAGTATCAAGAACTCATCCACCCGACTATGGAATCTTCCATTTTCAACAACTTGGATCAGGATGAGGTTATAATAAATTCATGGAAATCACTGGGTGAATTTTATGAGTCGTTCGTCAAGATGGCAAGCTCAGTTTGGGCATTGCATAAGCTTGCCTTTGCATTTGATCCTGTTGTGGATATATTCCAAGTGGAGAGGGATGTCGAGTTTTCAATGGTATACATGGAGGATGTCACTAGGAGATGTAAATATCCTTGCAAAACAAGGCCAAAGGTCGGATTCACAGTAGTTCCAGGCTTTAAGATTGGTCAGACAATTATACAGTCACAGGTTTATTTGATAGGCATGTAATCCGTAGATTAAGTGAGACTAATGATCTGTAATTTCATTGTGAAAGTGTGACTAGGATCAAAGTTACTGCATATTGAGACCAACTTAGTGTTCCAAAATTTTTGGCTTCAAGAGAATCTGGGTGATGTTATGTGTTTCTGGAAAGCATCAGCTATGATGACATATCCTAATTGTCTTTGCAAATGAGAGTTTGCACAAATGCCGGTTCAGTATCCCTGAGAGGCAGATGTGAGTCAATTTGTGAAGCTGGAGAGCTTGTCTTTCAATACCACTGAAGGTTGTTGTTCCCTCTCCATGGTACAGTTGTTAAAGAGGATCCCAGTTTTTGCTCATATTACATATACTCCGTATTATTTTTGTTCTTAGTTTTGTTTTGTATGTTGAGTCCATAGGATTAAATGTAAAGAATGCTTGTAAACTAGTTTCATGAAAATGTACTACGTACAGTATGTTGGAAGGTTCTTGTTGAGAGTGAATACATAATTAATTTGTGTAGCTAAATCTTGTATTGAGAAAGAGAGAAAACGGCAATACGTGTATATTGTTGTTACCTTTAATTGTATATATACCAGTCTTTCATATGACAGCTTTGTTATTGAATTTCACTTATCGTTTAGGTGTATATTACATCGAGTATCAGTTATTTCAATTAATTTTGTCAAATTAACATCATTAGCTCTTGTCCTGGTTCTCATTTTGAATAAAGGGATATGATTGTATTTTATTTAATCTCATTTTCTCTTTTGATAAAGACAAGTACTTTCATTCAAAATAAGACTCTGGACAACTATAGAAATGCCGTGCAGGAAAAACCCCCTGTTAAGTGCAAAAAGCCCTTCCCATAGGAGGGTGTGGGTTCTTAATAAGAAAGTAAATGATAGTTGAGTTGAGACGAGCACAAAGCCATCTTCCTGAGGAAGGGATCTCAATTTCTATGATACTCGCATCTGCTTGAATGCTTTCATCTGACGAGTTAACTGATCACATCTGATAATTGCTCAAATACTGCTATTTTTGTGCTGTCTGTTTGTTGTGGCTGCATGACACATGCAATTTCACATTCTGAGTTATCATATGGAGAATTTTACTTGAAAGTTGAATGTGCAGTTACCTGTATTCTGTCGGTAAGTTAACACTCGAGCTTTCTCAATCAGTAAATGTTCTTATGTCTAGTTTTCAGGCGCATTAGCAGTGTTTTCCAGTGGTTCTGGAGCACATTCCTTGGTCAGTTGCGCTGTTTGGTCACAATGCTTGATGTGACATGTCTCTTTGTCATGAAACCACGAATGCTTATGACTGAGGGTCATCCATGGGTCAATTTGTTGGCTCCATAACAAGTAAAAATGGAGAATCCTTTTAAAATTTCCGAAATCACTCAGTCTCAGACTGCTTCTTAATTTTGCCGAAGGGCCACCTGCAGTCGGCCCTTCTCAGTTCGCTTTCCATGCTATTTTTATGTGCTTTTTGGACTCCAGCTCGAGTCCAAAGTTAATCTTGAGACTGGGTATTTCTCATCCAATATGGTGGTTCTCAGGGGAGGGCGGGGAGACAATGTGTCTCAAACCCGGGTCTACACTGCGACAGGATATGTTGGATAAGGACGGCTACTAAAGAGCTGCACTTCACCGGCACAAGTGCTTGTATCCTCTCACTTCCTCGTTCTGTCCCTGCATCTCTTACTAGTATTAGAAAAAGAAACCAAATTTCATGCATGTTTTTGTACAGTATTTCAGCAAGTAGTTATGATCAGTTTCCCCACTGAAGGAACAGATTAGCTGTTCTTATCTCCATCCCCAGTTTTTCTGGGAGTTGCTTATTTTTATGGAACATTTTCCATTTTCCTGAGATTCATGTGTTTACTGTAATTATGATACACTGATCAAATTCCAATATTCTGCACCATGGCTAACGCATGTAATGCAACTCCAATTAAAATTTGTGTTCTTCATAAACTCAATTTTACCAGAATCCTTTTACCTCCTTCCCTGAAATGTGTTATTTTTGGTAGATGTGTCTCCCAATTTCCATGATATAAATGGGGATGTCTTTATTCAGTTTGAAGAAAAATGGATGAAAAATAATCCGATATAACAATTTAAAATTAAATCGCTGTAGATAGTATTTTGTACTTTGTATGAACTTTAAAATTTACCACATTAACCAATGCTAATTCGTATTCATTTCTCAGTTTTTGTTGACATGAACCTCCTATTCCCGATCCCGTCTTACTGTCATGAATTGAAATAAGAATCAAGCTTAGTTCCTTCTTCCTCGCCACCTCCTATTGTACCTTATTCCGTTTAATTTGTATTAATTTGACTTTTACATTCATCAACCTGCTTTGACCCATAATATCTTTATTATTAATGAGTTAACTATATTAAAAGTTGATTTTTTAAAAATATGCATTAAGATAAACCTATAACAAAATCATTGATGTTAAATGTTGTTGATCCAAAAATTTCAGATCTATATGGTACAAAATCACAGCGAATAAGGTGTTGGGCCTAGAGGCAAATTCTCTTTTCTCACCTGTAATTTGTAGTCTCGTGATTCATTTGAAAAAAAAGTAATGACTCCATATCATTATAGCCCTGTTCTTTCGAGTTGAACCAGATTGAACAGAATCATTGAAGTATATCAACCTGAACTAAATTGTAATTAAATAAGTCCAAAATAACAGGGCCTACTTCTCAATCTCTACCTACATATCATATGCAGTGTAGATTTATTAAGAATGAAATGACAGTTAGAAGATTATAGTACAAATATATGTTATGATTGGACAGGGATTGATGTCAATTCAAATGTGACATTAGATAGTTGGGTAATTTCATTAAGTAGAAAGAACAGATATGTTGGGGCAGATACAAACAAGTAGGAATCTATAAATAAGTACTCAATAAGTCAGTAGTAAATACAAGTACAAATATATATTTATGTCAAACACATACATCAACTTTACTATAAACTCAATCTATAAATATATAAATACAGCTATAGTATAGTAGTAGTAGATCTTGCTAGATGAGAGATCTGACTAATAAACTATAGCCTAAGATTCTCTTATAGCTAGATTTTTTATAAAGTACATTGTTGACAATGGCATTTTGCTAGATTTGTGTATCTCAGTAAAGTCATTACCTTACAAATAATATTGCTGCTAGGCTGCTAGCTGCTTCTAATGTATTGTTCACAATTTATATTATCCTATACCCCGCCCCAATATAATTAACTATTTCTGTTTTTCGTGGCGAAAATTTTTAAAAACTTTGACTACTTTTATTTATTTTTTTTTTTTTTTTATATATATTAATACTTTAAAATAATAGAGTATATAATTATGTACGAATAAAAATAATGTAAAATACGTGCATTTCTATAACATCAACTTTTTAAATTACTTAAATATGTAATAAAATAAATTGATGGTTAATTGTACATCTTGAAAATCACTTTTTTTTTTGACAAGAAAAAATAAGCACTTTATCTTGGAATAGAGGTAGTAACCTTTTTGGCATGGGTGTCAATTATACAAAGTATTATTTAGGGGCTTGGCTCATTAGCTTGTGAAATTATAACATGGGCCTTTCTTGGAGGGTAAAGTACTATGCTAATTGCTATGCAATCGTTATACTAGTATGATGCCCTAGGGTGTACCATGTACGTGGTGGCCTAAAGTGTACCATGTATGTAGTGTTTTAGATAAATAGTAATACTAAAATATATTAAAATGACACTGATCTCAATTGATCATAAACATAAAAATATTTATTACGGAGGATGATCTTGTGTAACTACTTAAAAAATAAATATTTTTTCTCCAACTTTCTTCAAGATTTTCTATTTTCCTTAATAAAGGAATTTCACAAGCATGACTGTACAACTTTTTACAGAAATTAATCATCTATTATCTTGGATGGGTAATTAGGTTTACTGCCATTGCCAATTTACCTACCTTAATTAGCTAAAAGAATTTTATCCGATATCATTTTTTACCCAATCATGTGTACATTTAGAGTTGATCTGGTATGTACATACACTATATAGGCCAGGGCATATCACATATGCCTCATCAACGACAATTAAATATAGGTCTGGTGTCATATACATCGACCAACAAATTATACAAGTCGATCATTCAATATCAATACTCCCTCCGTCCTTGAATATTTGGGACGTTGGACTTTTTTCACCATTTATGTATTAGCTTTGACCTTAATTTTTTACTAACATAATAAAAACATATTTTATCATAAAATATGTTGTTAGATAAGTATTAATATAAAGTTTCATAATATAATTTTAAAAACAATTTTCATTAATACTTAATTATATAAAAGTAAAGTCAAACTAATGCATCGGCATGTATGCAAAATTGACTGTGTAAGTTATTCTAGGACAGAGGGAGTAATTATTGAGGTTTGTGATTTGTTTGTTTTCTTTTCGATCTTTCAAGACTTCTATGACATTGTACTAAGGCCTGTCTGTATATACTCTTATATGTATCCACCATCCTTTTCCATCTCTATGCACAATCTAAGCTTCACGTACTCCTTATCATTTTATTCACCACTTTTATCCATACCAGTATATATATTCCTAGCTAGCAAGTCTCAGCTCCAACTAAATCTTGATTTTCCTCATATAATCTTAAGGAAAATTAAGATGTAGTGTCATCTATTAGATGGTCTTTAATTTAGAGCATAAGTAATTGAAATACACAATGAACAAAAGCAATTAACAACACAACACTAGGTTAGCTTAACTAAAAGGATCATCAGCTGTTAAGAAGTTTTAACAATACCATTAATATATATAACAAGCTAAGCTCACTTCAATAATTTTCCCTAGCACCTCTTCTCTTTTTAAGTTTTAATTACTCCTAGAAGTAATTAATTAAGTGCAAATTAAAGAGAGAAAGACCTAGTAAAAAACTAGTGATTAAAAGAGAGGGAAAAGAAAGAAAATCCTACGGAATTTTTAACATAAAGTAGTAGTACTAGTCTAGTACTAGTACTTGAAATGCTTGCTTGCTTTAAATTTTTCTAGCTTATAACTAAATTTTAGTTTGTTGTTGATTCTTCTTAGTACGGACCTACACCCACATTCACATTGGCTTGAGGAGCTAAGAACCCTTCTTTCATCATAACTTGATCGTGCTCTCCTTCCTGCATTCCAATCAAATTCACGATATATAACATGACTTAATTTTGGACATAAAGAGTTTATAGCACATATACTGAGTAATTAAAATTGGCGAATTGTTTGTTTAACAAACGTCTTAGAAGATGAACATTTGTTAATGTTTATGCAAATGGAAATTCTTTTTTCTTTTTAGAACAAATTATTTATTTTGAAGAAAAAAAAGTAGTACAATTTGCTAGGGTTAGGGCTACATAGAGGGAGTAGTACCTGCTGCTGGCGCACGTTAGCCTTCTTCACGGGTTGATGGTCAGGCATAAGGCCGAAATGAATGTGTGGGAAGTGGGCCCACTTTTTTACACGCAAAACAAATAGAAAATCAATAATGTTTGAGCAATTTTTGAAAAGTACTCAAATTCTAAAATTAGTCATTTAAAAGTTAAAACCAACAAGCATAGAAACTTCAAAGATTTTATTACATTCTTGGCAGCTGCACTGAAGGCCTCCCTGTGGCTAATATCAGGATTTCCGGCTTTGATTCGTTGAATTTCGTCCCTATAAAACAATTGCATGTCTTTTCATTAGTAATTAGCGTTAATTATTCTTTTACCCTGATAAAGTTATGTTAATAAACTTTTTATTAACTTAACTAGTTTGATTAAAATAGTAACGTGACTATATATTTTAGACGGACACATGATCATTAAATTAATTTCATCTACAATTTGCAAAATTGGACATAAAGTACTAACAATAATCAAATTTAAGAAATAAATAAGGTACGACAAAAAGGGTACTAACTTGATAAATCTGTTGTAGGCAGATGGTACCCTCTGTCTCTTCTCTGGAGCTGTTCATTGTATAAACATGCAAAAAAAAAAAAAAAAAAAAAAAAAAAACAAACATATAAACAAACAAGACAAACAAAACCACATTAACTAAACTCACTATTTTCTTCTGACAACTTAAATTAATTTCATTTTCATTTTTAAAAAAAATAAATTTGCATTAAATTCATTCATTCCAATCCCTTTCTCTATCAATTCTAAATCATAACCTCATCATAGCATTCTGTTAGCATTGTATCTATCAAATCTATCCCATCATCAACCGCTTCTTCTTGGATTTTATATGTCCCTGCTCAAGGGGTTGTGGGGGACATACACTTGGCCAACCTAACTTAGAAATAATAATCATCACTTTATAATTGCCTTTCTCCTTTTTTACTCGGTTTACTCCTAAATCAATCAAAATTTCACTAGTCTATCATTCTACTGTACTTTATAAGGTACTCGTAATAACTAATTACTAATAAGAAATTATATTTATTTTTTTCTTCTAAGTGATGGCAAGTAGCTCAATTTGGCTAGAATTTACTCCAAGGAATATTATAATTTAGGTTGAAACATAATTACACCTTAACACGAATCTTATCAACTAAAAAGAAATTGAGATGACGATATTACTAGGTAGGTCTTTTCGAATAGTTACGTGTTTGAGGTTAATATTTCCTCCACAATATTGAGAAGGCTAGAGAAAGATGATTACGGAGTATGTACAAAACAATATACTATAAGTTACTCCGTAGTTAGTTTTGATTATTTAAGAGTGTTAAAAAGTACATAAGTTAACAAGTACTTGTAATATAGAGGAGAATTTGAGTGCAGAGAAAACGTGTATGATACAAATTAAAGTCCAATTGAAAAAGAGTTCAAGTACAAGAGTGAGTTGAAAGTGATGAATGATGAATGAAGAGAAAAAGAAACAACACTTTATTTTGTTTTACACTTCTTTTCTCAAATTTTGTAAGTAAAGTGAACCAAAATCTGTTGACATGTCTATTTAGGGCTAAAAGCACAACCGCAGAATAAAATGTTGTCTTTTTTAAGTGTTACTAGAAAATACAAATATTTCATCGGGATTACGGATTTGATATTATTGTTCGTTGTTATGTAAATACAAAAATTGGAAGAATAATCAGGGTTAGTTAAGAACAAAAACTAGTTAGATTATATAGGAATATAGGATGGGTTTTATAAATGGTCGATTCGAGCACTCTTTTTTTAATTATTATACCTTACAACACTACCCATAAGCCTGCTTAACGAAGAAGGAAATGAAAAGGGACTTACGGCGATTGACGGGTGGGGGTTTAGGGATCTCTTGATGGTGGTGATGAAGATGATCAACTCCTCGAACGGACATCATTGGGTCATTGAACATAGGCTGATGATGATGATTGTTGATAAGTATATTTGGTGCTGAGCTCCGAATCTCCTCCTAGTACACACACATTACACAAACACATAAACATTTAATTATACTGTCTACTAATAGCCTTAATTTCGAGCACAATTAATGATGCAGAAGAAGACCAGGAAGATAAGAGAATCGTTGATTGATTTTAGGTTACAATTCACATCTTTTGTTACCAATTCAACTACTTATTACAACTCCTTCCCCAAAAACCCATCACCACCCACATAAAGTATTAACAAGTTAGAGTTTGCCTACTTTTATCGGAATTTAGTTGTCACATTATTAGTTCACACTCTTAGTTTCAAAGAGAGATACAACATCGGGTAACCTATACAACATCCGTCTAGATTTAATTATCACATTGTTCGTCCAAAGTTCTCTAGTATGAAGGCCTTCTTTATCCTAACCAAAGAGGTACAATATTATGTTTAATTTTGTAGTCTCCTTTTAACCAAAGAAGAACCCTAAAATTAAAAAAACATACCAGAAGACTGTGAGGAGAGGTAAAGAAAGAGGGAGGAGAAAGATGATGGTGATTCGGCGAAAGAGGCGGAGGCGGAGGAAGCGGAGATGGAGGCGAAGGCGAAGGCACGGCAGGCAAAAGATGAGCCCTCATATGGACAGACAACAAGCTAGTACAGTGTCCACATCTCACCGTCACCGTCTTAAACAAGCTGCTACTCGGCACACTCACCTACACCACATCATTTTTTTTTACAAGTTGATAGATAAAATTATACAAATAATAAGAATTAGAATAATATATACTTACAGCAAGAACAGTATCACAGCAATTGCACTGAACATAACAAAGTTGGTCCGACGGCGAAATAACATGTTCTACATTATCATTGTTATTATAATTAGGAGTTTGATGATGGTAGTTATTATCTAAACTACCACCTCCGCCGCAACCACCACCACTTCCTGTCGTAGTTGACGAGGAAGAGGACGACATTATTTTTTTCTTGGTGTTATAGTTTATTTTCTCACTCAAAGTTTTTGTAAGGAAGTGAGTATTTTTCTTGGTGAGATGATATAATCTTTTTGATGGGATATATGAATGGATGGATGGATTGATTTACTGACTGACTGACTGATCGGTGATGTTTTATTTGTAGTAGCCCATGCCAGTCCAACCTTTTTTTTTAATGTAAATAAAATTAAAATTATACTATATAGTTTTTATATTGATGTACTATACTATATAGTTTATCTAATATTTTTAATTATATAGGGGTATATAGTAGTGAGTGATATTTAACCGCCTTCCTTTTTAGGGATTTGAAATGAGGGTTGAGAGAAAGACAGAGAATAGGATGAAGAATTGTTGTGTGAATGTGTGAGTGTGTGTAAATTGTGTTATGATGATACCAATTATATATAAACACTTAGTTTTTGTACAAGTTGAAAGCTCTATTTATAAAAAGTGCTTTTTTGCTACACTTTTATTTTCTTCTTATTATTTTTCACACTAATTTTGTGACTGTACATTTTTTGTTCTTTTCCTTTTGTCACTATATATGCTTAACAAAATAAAATTTATATACATTGTCATTTACATCTCATGCATAAAGGAATTTATTTAAAAACAAGTTTTATAAGTAATAAGTTTGTGTTGAATGAAGTACTCCGTATTTCTTATAGAGATGAGAACTTAATGGTCTTAGCTCAACTTACTATACTACATCCTCAGCTCTTATCAGTGTTTAAGGTCTTTACACTAATTAGTTCGTTTGCTCTTTCAGCAAATCGCTTGCTCAAAGAGTACTGTCAAAGATTTGGTTGCAAATTTACAGTACTACATATGAAACATATAGAGAGAGTAAGTTTAATAAGGATAGTCTTTAATTACTACGTACTCTATAAAACCTAAGTTTGTAATATAATAATTCGATAAATTCCAACTCCTTTTATAGTTTTATGTGTTATGGTCCCTTGCTATAGGTTAGTCATGGATATGGTTCTTATCTTAGTAGGGGCATCCTCTTTATCAACCTTAAAAATAAAGGCAATGCAAATGTGAAGTGTTCATGTATCTACAATAACATCCTCCTAATTTAGGGATTCTACTTTGGTGGGACTCTTTTTTGGTCCCGAAAACATCAATTTTTGTTTGTGGGACTCTAAACTCAAATGGTGAGACCCTATAGTAATATGTCTTGTGAATTCTTAAAATTCATCTTTTAATTCACAATTGTAAAATAGAAATCACTCGATCATACAATTTTCTTCAAGCTAGATACACTTGAGACTTAAATATATATACTGAGCCTCTGATGAATGATGACCTAATAATAACCCAACTTATAGGACCATGTATAATTGAGACCCAAGTTTACACACCAACATCTCTTTTTGTCCCTTTGTTACGTTTTCCACACTCCACAATACAGTGTTATTTAGCTTATCCCCAATGAATAGAATCAAATATGTACTTAAAACTCATCCCACCACAAATCTAGAATGTCATTGCATGCGAGCTAAATGAATGTTTGATATTTTCTTGAATTTCACCCAAAAATTTATGCTCCAAAAGAATGGCCATGCCCAAGTCAAACTTGAATTGTCTTCAAATATTAAGGACAATATTTATTTAAAACATAATAAGTTTAAGGATAATATCATAATATGCATTTGATTATACTGTGCTAAATCAACAAGAATAAAAGTGTGATATGCACTTGTAATAATTTCTTATATATAGATGAGTATCCTCATACTCCCTTTGTTTTCACAATTTTGACCATTAATATCTTTTAATTAGAGGTTAGTAAAAATTATGAAAAAAATAATTTATAAAAGTAGACATTATGACAAATCCAACAACATTTTATATGATCATATTTATATATTATATATTGGTAAAAAAAATTAAGTCAATAATGACCTATATATAGTGGAATTTTCCAACTCTAGTCTTTAAATAAAATAAAAAAAAATAAAAAAAAGGAGTACTATACATAACTTCGTTGATAGAGTAATTTGAATAAATTATGTAATCCTTAACAACTTTTTAGGTACTTAATAACTACGGAGCATTAAGCTAAGGAATGAGTATTACATTATACGGAGTAGCAACTAATTTAATTGATTTTGAAGGTAATATTTTAGGTATAATTGATTGAACCCTATCAATAACATAATACTAAAACAGAACCGGGAATGACAAATGTCACTTTCTGATGTCGTTTTTTCCCTCTAAAAACCATTTTCCAAAAATAAATGTTATTCTAACTTTATATTTCTTTTTATATCTTTTTAACTGACAACTTATTAAAACAATAAATTTCTATATTATAATACCAATTAAAGATTCTTATTACTAATATTAATATTATTTGCTTAAATTGATTTTTTTTTTTGATCAATTACACTCAAATGGATTTAATTTATAGTATGAAATAATAAAAACATTTTTACGTTATAATGCATCATATTGACTTTAATACAAAAATTTAGTGTTATCTTCTTTATTTTTAAAAAAAATTTCCGCCAAGATAATTTTTTTTTTTCCAAAGCTTATTAGAGAATATTTAATACTATGAAATTATATTTCCTTTACTATTTGGTAATTATATTCCATTTATACACATTCAACAAAAATATTATTCTTTATTTAATACTATGCAATAATATTTTCTTACATATAACTTTGTGACGTAATCTGCATGTAATACTCCCACGATTTTCTATAGTATGATATAGTTTCATTTTTATTTTTGTAATTACGAATTTTTCATTTTATTTCGCATGCAATTAGATAATTTTTATTATTAAATATATTGTTAAACTAATAATAAATAGTGAAAATTACCGTGTATGACATGTGACCTAATCTAGTGAATATTATATTATAGTGTACAACCAAAGTTATAATGTATAAACCGAAGTTAGTTATTTGATCCTTTACATGTATGTACTCCGTATACTGCAAGATACAACCGGTTGTAAAATAAAAAGTGTTGAATTTAAAACTCATCATATAATACTCCGTATAATATTGTATTTGATGTACTCCATTTTGATTGGGAGGAACAAATGAAAATTCAACGCATGAAAGAGAAGTGACAAGTGGATCTATAAAAAAGCTTAAAGGGTATGTAGGCTAAAGTAGGGTTCAGATCAGCTGGCTGGAGGAAACCATAGATTTACAGACCTCCTAAGATAGCTAATTAAGCTAGGTTGTATTTGTTACCAGTACATATATTTAGGGTTTTATTTAGAGAGAGAAAATAAAGAAAGAATGTTGTTGGAAGAAGAGAGAGAAAATGAATGAATGGTTGGCATTCCCGATGATGAGAGAGAAAGGGAATTGAAGGGCAGAGGCGGCAGAGGTGGGGGGGAGGGACGAGATAGGGACGTGTGCATGTTCTTATTAACTTTGCTTCATTCATCTGTTCTTTTCAACCTTTCCTTCTTAACCATTTTTTTTAACAAAAACAAATGTGTTTTTTCTTGTGTTATACGAGTAAATTTCATTTTATACGATGTATATCTCACCTTCTAATGCCTTCCTTCACTAATTACCACAATAATTACAACGAATAATTACAATTAATTCATCGTTTTACAATGTGTCAATCTTATTGTTTTTTCATCCTTAAGCCTATATATATGTCATTTAATGTTTTGTTCAACAAATAATATGATGATTTCGATATTTCTACAAAATTTGGATCGAGTGAGTGCAAAGTAGTTTAATCATCATATTGACTGAAAATACAATTAATGACTATAACAAAAGTACAAAGTATCAATTTAATTCATTTTATTGTTTATGGTGCGGAGTATAAAGGAACTCAATTATTTAACATAGAGCGATGGAGATATTTCCTAAAAAACAACTAGGAAGATTTTATTTTTTTTCTATATATTTTCATATAATTGTAACTAACATAATTAACCCAAACGAAATGATGAATCTAAATCATTTACTCAAGATTAAACCATCAAGTGATAAAGGAGTATGGTAGTAAGTATATCCAAATAATTCTATTCAAGGAAAAAATTCTCAATCCCTAAGCTAACAGAAAATTCATGTTCCCTAATCCCTATGCATCAAAGTTAGCAAAATAGTGAAACAATAGCCATATTAATTCTATGAGCTATATAATAGCAATGTGACTTATTTTGTCAAGGTTGAAATCCTTATATACAATGACATAAAATCTTAATTACTTATCTACACAATGTAAAAAATATGTAGAAAACGTTTGGTTGATCTTTAAAGCAATTTTTTTATTTACTCCGAATAATATAAAATCAATAAGATAAATAGAAAAAATATCACTAAAAAATGTGTGCCATAATAAAATTTATGGTTAGAGCTCAGCTCTCCTCCCAATTTTAATAGATTTTGGGATCGATTCTCATCACCTGCTCTTGTGGCTCTCTAAACAAAATAATAATAATAAAATCGATGGCACTTTCTCACTATTTGCTTTAGGAATTATGAAGTGTAGTAAATAAACATTTTGACCAATGACTAATATGAGTAGAAAATATACTTGTCTCTTTATGTTTTGTTCTTTGTCTACCTTTTGAGTTTTATATTTTAATTTATAGAATGAATATCTTTTTATAATTATGAAGGGGGAAAAAAAAAACTTAACTTTGTAGGGTCTTTCATATGCATATGAATTATGAGAAGTCACTATAGATTTTAATGATCCTTTGTCCTTGGCTAAATATTACCCGTGCATTATCATCAGACAACTAGCATTAAACAATTCAGTACAAGACTTGCATTGTTCTAAATTAAAAATTTCTTGCATTGGTTTTCAAAAAGATTTGAAAAGACCTCTACATTTCCTAAATATACCTGCTGAACTTGGGACCTCATACACTAGAAGTTGCTTGCAAAGTCTACTCGGTTCATATTTTTTAACTATCAAATCATACATAGATAATATAGTAATAGTTACTTTGTTTCTTAATAAGTTTTAATAAAATACGAGAATTAAATTTAGTATTCATGTAATGATAGAATTAATTATATATATCTAATTAAAATCGAATATAAATTAAGATGATAAAAATGTTCGAATGTGTCAGTATGTCACTTGCTCACTTCATAATACACTCAACACATACCATTTGACAATATATAGAAACAATCCTTGCTATTGAATAATAGTCCAATATTTTCTATTACGGTATCCCTTCTCATCACATACATTAAATGTGTCTTCTTTCATCTATCAACATATATAGACGCCATTTGTGACAAGAGGTGTAATATATAGAGATTAATGTGCTCTATGTGGCATTAAGCAATTGCATGCAGATAATTGAATTAGTCAGCGCTAGAATCATAATTTACGCATATGAGGTAACGCAAATAAGTGAATAACCACACACAATTAAGTTTATGACGTCTTACATAAAATGATCTAGAATAAGTAAACACAAAATAATTTTGGGATGCATTATGTTTGGTGAATGCCAAAATCAAATTGGTAAAAATAGTAAA